AAGCCAAGCCCATGTCGAAGAGCTGTACGTTCCCTGGCTGGTCAATATTTCGGACTGCACGGACAAAGCCAAAGTTGTCCGGTTTAACGTCACGGTGCACGGCTCCGGCCACACGATGTAAGTAGTGCACTGCCGAGAGCATCTGCTGCGCCAAGTCTGCGCAGGTGCGCTCGGGAACTGCGGTCTTCAGGGCGGTCATCCAACCTTGCAGTGTTGGCCCCTCCAGAAGGTTCATGACGATGTACATGCTTTGCGGCATGTCCAAGACCCTCAGTAGATTTCGAGTGACGTGCTCTCGCGTGGCCCTCTCCTCTCCGAGGGCCTGAAGGAACTCGAGCATGCGGCTCATCGGAACCTTCACGATGCTCTTGGAGAGCGACTCCAACTCTGTATCGCGGTTGGGGAGTTTAACCCTCTTCATTGCATAGGCTGCGCCTGGGCTCAGAGGCTTGAAGCGGCTCAGTCCCTGTCCAGTGGGCTCCACCTTGCACACGGTTCCAAATCCACCACGACCGAGGTGCCCTCCTTCTGTAAAGTAGTCTTCGATGCATCCACGATGGATGACGGCAACGCCATCATAACGATCCTGGATGTCAATGTAACGTTTTCGAAGGGTCGCACTGGCCTCTCCCACTGTCCACGCAGGACCAGAGCAAAACCAGCTGGCAAACCCCCTCAACACTGTCTGCGCCAGCAGGTAGCATTCCCTCTTCGAAGGGAGCTGCGCGACCACGCCGGTAAGAACCGGACCATCGCTGTAGTCAGGCAGCATGAGAATGGAGCGCGGCACAGGGAAACTAGATGAAACTAGGCTTTTGTTGGGGGTTCCTTGTAGCGGGGATTATATTCTTTTGGGGGATACAAGGGGCACCTCCAATTTGTGAAATGCCCATGTAGTGGGTTCCCCTAGATTGGAAACCTTTGGGGGGTTCTTCTTGCAACGCAAAGTCTCATACTTACGGCGGCCAGAAAGGAAGCTGGGTTCTTCTTGCAATGCAAAGTCTTATACTTAAGGCAGCCAGAAAGGAAAGTGTTGCCGGGCTGTGAAGCAAACTGCTGAAACCGCTGTCAGCGCTCCTCCAACAGGGCAACACGCGCATCTAGACTCATCACCTCAGGCGTCACACAATGCAAAGTCCAGACGCCTGAAAGCAAGAGCATTCAGCAGACAAATGTTCGGCCTCGTTGTGGACAATTCGAACCTGCAAAGAAACGCAAGGACCGTGTCGGAAGATGCTCTGACTGATGCTGTGCCTTGTGCATGTCATAAGTCACCCTTTGCTCTTCAACCGCCACTGTGGCCATGAAAGCAAAGAGCAAGCATCAAGTTGCAACGTTTTCAACCCCGTGTGTACATCGTGAATCGTGAGCAATGACCCACGCATGGACCAAACAACCCAAGCAACCCGTGCCCCTTCTGACCTCGTCGCGAAGGTTAGCTTGCAGTCGACCTAAAGCAGCGTTGGACCGGCAAGATTTTTAAAAGCATGCACGCGCGATTAGCATGCAAGGACGCAGTGTGGGGAACTGGGATGCTAGGCACTCTGCACGGTCTTCATGAGCTTAAGGCAGCTGCATACAGCTCTCGAAACTGCTGTTAGTACTGAGGCGGCCCTCCAAAGATCAACAGCAGCTGCAGATGCAGCGCCTCGGAACCTGTGTAGCCGATGGTAGCCTTGGCATGCCTTTTTCTGCGCAACAGTGCTGTTCGATGAGTCCATGTCTGTTCGGTGAGGCAATCACTTCTGTGGGGGGGTATTGTCGAGCTCTCACGCAGGCTGCCGAGCTGAGCACAAAGCGCCCGTTGGACTGCAGAAATGACGAATTTCGGAGCTTGCGCAGAAAGCTGACCTTACCCCTGCTTGGCGGCTTCAACATGCCAATTTGCGTGGCAAATCTCTACAGCAACAGCTACACGGGCATCAAGAAGTGGGGCATACCAAGTAAGCTGGCGTGCGAACTTCACAGGGCTATTTCACAAGCACAGCCAGCTGTAGGCTCCCAGAGCCCAGCGTAGCTTCTAAGCAGCTCCCTGCTCATATACAAGAGAAACGGTACATTGTGGCCCTGTTTACAGGTGCTCGGGGAAGGCACTCGCAGACATCAACTAGGCTTCGGCTGTGCCGATCAGTGTCCCCAAAGTAGCAAAAGTGTGTTGTTTTAATCATCTGTGGGAAAGGTGTTGCGTTGCCGCCCCGACTGGCCTGGCTAGTGTTCGAGTCTGTACGACACACTGAGAGATGGAGATGTGAATGGCACTGGTTCCGCTGGGATCCATTCCGGAGAGGCATGCGGCTTGCATACCTCAGCAAAAACTGATTGGCCCTACTTGGAGTTTCATGCTTACGGCACGAGTAAAAGTTTCCCTACCTCTGACTCACTCTCGACTTGCAGGTAAGTATACCAGAACAAGAACTTGAGATGTTCCCCCTCATAATAACAGTCCTTACATAGGGATTCTTGTACCAATCCCTACTAAGGACTGTTAGTAAGTATAAGGAGGAAGATCCCAAACAACAACCTTCAAGCCTTCAAGTGTCTGGAATGTCTGAAGGTTGAGTCGACTCAGTACATCATGACGTTTGCTGGGACAGATCATCTGCTCCTCATCAAGCGGCACAAAATCTCTGATAGCTGCCCCTTTGCCGAAATGCCCACCTGCCGTCACTGGTGCAGGGGGGTTACAGACGCGCGGACACTTCCAAGAACAAAAGATGCTGACAGTTGCAATACCACAACCTGCCCAGCCTCTCTCTGTAAGGTCTGTACACCAGCAGGCTAACCCAGTGCGAACACCTGAGCAGCACACGTCGCAGGTTAAGTCCAGATCAGCAACTCCCGGAGCCCCAGTGCCCACAAAACGATCCTGAAATATGCTTGCACAATGTGCGGAAACCCTAAACCCTAAACCCTAAACCCTGAACCCTAAACCCTAAACCCTAAACCCTAAACCCTAAACCCTAAACCCTAAACCCTAAACCCTAAACCCTAAACCCTAAACCCTAAACCCTAAACCCTAAACACAATCAAGGCCCCTCAACACACCAGGGCGCCCCGGCGAAACAAGATTGCGCAGCGGAGGCTGCCTGGGCATGCAAAGGCTCTTGAACCTCTTGGCTTGAGGGTACATAGGGTTTAGGGCTTAGGGTTTCGGGTTTAGGGCTTAGGGCTTAGGGTTTAGGGTTTAGGGTTTAGGGTTTAGGGTTTAGGGTTTAGGGTTTAGGGTTTAGGGTTTAGGGTTTAGGGTTTAGAGTTTAGGGTTGAAGGTGGGGGGATAAGGGGGTACAAGGGGGGGTACAAGGGGGGGTACAAGGGGGGGTACAAGGGGGGGTACAAGGGGGGGTACAAGGGGGGGTACAAGGGGGGAAGAGGGGAAGGGGCTGGTGAGAGGACTTACCTACATGTGGGGGTCTCCGAGAATAGGGGTACCCAGGGTCCTGTAAGGCTTGCCGTATCTTGGGGTGCAAATTTGGGGTACCCCCCCTAATTATTTTGGGAAGTACCCCACACGTTGCTTAGGAAACCTTCTTTGGTTGCACCTTGTGCTGCTGATCCAGAGATTTGACAACCTCGGCGCTGCAAGTTTGGCAGGTCATGGTCGGAGGTGTCGGTAGAGTCACCCGGTAACAGATGCCAGGGACATGAGCGCTGCACCACTTCTGACATCACTGCTGCGCCCCTGTCTCCTTGCAGACTTCAATGATCAGGGCCACGAGAAGGCTTCGATTCCAGATGGCAATGTCTTGCAACGGACATCAGCTGCACAGTCTCTCGGCCTTATTCAAATGAGTCAGGATGTGCTTGAACACCTCTCTGGGGTCCTGCAGAGAAGCCGTGGGATCAAGGAATGAACACCAGCACTCATCATCACCCATCACGCGGGTCGCCCGCTGGAATGATGACGCATGAAGGCTCTCACTCTACATGAACTCATCATGACCCACCACTCAAGCACGTTGCGTCTCATGGGCTGCCAGACTGGCCCACCTCTCTGCCACCGGCGGCACCACCCCTCAGAGCCATCAACAAATCGAATTCCATTAATGCCAGTCATTGCTCAAAGCTGGACTCTGGTTGTTTTCGAGACTCAGCTCCAGGCGTGGCATTCAACTGGGTCTCCACATTCCGAATTGCCTTTCAACCGAACGTACAGGTATAAATTAACAGAACTAGACGCACAAAAATCAAGCTCTCAGGGTACGTCGTGAGTCTACCAGAGTCCACTACAGGTCGCTTACACGCGGCTAAAACTTACCGTTGGTTAGTAGGGGTTAGTAGGGAATCGGGGAATGAGGTACCCTATATAATCCCTTAAAGGGTCTAAATACAGGGGCCCTACTTCCCCCATTCCCCCTGCTAGCCCTAAAGCCTAAACCCTCAACCCTCAACCCTCAACCCTACAAAGGGTTCTGCGTCCCTCCCACGGCCTGGCAAAGGTGGGGCCATTCTTCACCACGAGTGTTTTCCAACATCTTTTGGACCTGGCCGCTGTAGGGTTTAGGGTTTAGGGTTCAGGGTTTAGGGTTTAGGGTTTAAGGCTTGGGGTTTGGGGTTTGGGGTTTGGGGTTTGGGGTTTGGGGTTTGGGGTTTAGGGTTTAGGGTTTAGGGCTCACTGAGGGGCAACGGGCAGCAAGCCTGAGTACTTGGAGGTGCACTAGGGTTTAGGGTTTGGGGTTCAGGGTTTAGGGTTTAGGGTTCAGGGTTTAGGGTTTAGGGTTTGGGGTTTGGGGTCTGGGATTTAGGGTTTACTTGGAGGTTCAAAGGTAGTTCTAAGTAGGGTTCTAAGTGCCCTAAGTAAGGCTAGAAGTAGAGTTACCCTACTTTTAACCCCACCTATAACAACCCATGAACCTCCAAGTAGTCATGAGAGAATTCGGGGCCCGAGAGACTGGTCGCTTTTTGGAGCCACGCAGAAACCAAACCACAGATCAGAAACGGCAGGACGTACAAATTTAAATGTCGAGGCCGTGGGGCTCGACGAAGTCAGCGAAGCACTAGGACTAGGCTGCTGCTGGCAAGCGATTCTCTGCATACTGCCCAGCCATCCGACTAATGGTCTGATGTATGCGAAGTCGCGGAGCCAGGATTGCAAACTCCTGGAGCTGCAAGAGATTCAACTCAAACCTAACCCCGAAACCCCTTCCCCCCCCCCCCCCCCACAACCGAAGCTCAAAAAGACCTGTGCTGCTGTAGGACTTGACTATGACGAGCATACCGGAGATTAGGAACCCTTTGGGCCGAACCGCCTGTGGAAGGAGCTTGCCATCACCATCGTAGTCAGCCTCCGTGTGCCATCTTTTTGCCAGCTGCGCTGGCGTCAGCGTTCGAGTTCCAAACAGTCCGAAAGGTCCTCGGGGCTCGTGGAGGAGATCTTGCGAAGTCACCTCAGACCGGCTGGTTCTTAGTAGGGAATGAGGGAACGAGGGTACCCTATTTCATCCCTTAGAGGGCATTTTTAAGGCCCCTATTTTCCCTTATTCCCTACTAAGAACCATTGTGGGCCTCATGCTCCAGGGACAGCTTCACCCATCGCAGCAGCTCGGCGCTGGTGACGAAGCCATCTGCGTCCGTGTCGACGACTCGAAAGGCCAAATCTGCCAGCTGCGGTGTATCCAAGGGCGCACCCTGCACCTTTACTCCCCTTAGAACCTTCACAAAAACAATATGTTCAATATCCTCTTGGGTTTTATATAAACAAAAATAAAAAATAATTCCCAAGGGGGATATAGGCACGGTTGCAAGCAGCAAGAGGGCGCCCCGAATGAACTCGTGGGCACCGATGTTTCCATTTTGGTCGAAGTCCAGGACACGAAAGACAGCGGGAACCACGTGCTGAGTCAGCTCACGGACTGCCTGGGCCCGTGCTTCGACAGGAGCAGCCGCCTGCCCTTGCGTTTGGCTGTGCACCTCCAGGACCAGATCCTCAGCACACGCTACAAGGCGAAATTGGGGGGATGCATATATATATATATATATATACATTTTTCTATATACATATATATGTATATACATATATATGTATATACATATAAGTATTTCAAAGCGTATGAAGGGTAGGGTAGGTCCACTGCCTTCGGCTTCTCTTCTTCATCAGGGGGCTTCTTGCCAAGGTCTTTTTTGACGAACATGGACATGCTTCAGAACACTGAATCCTGCCTCTGGCTGTTCTGAGCCCTCCGTAATATTCTGGCGCACACTGTGCACGATGTGCGTGGATTCGGACGACGCCGTCTTGCCCCTAGCACTTGCGACCCAGCAGCGATCATCTTGTGAACCGCACACTTGAACTCATCCAGGGTCATTACGCCAGAGGCATCAGAGTAGCACGCAAACGTAAAGCGCCCGACCCACTCGAAGAGGTGAAAGAAGAACGGACGCTGCAAGTCATGGAAGGACACCTTCAGGGTTTAGGGTTTAGGGTTTAGGGTTTAGGGTTTAGGGTTCAGGGTTCAGGGTTCAGGGTTCAGGGTTCAGGGTTCAGTGTCTGCCGGCGGACGGTTTCTCAAGAGGGATAGGGCACTTCGGGTGCCCATAAAACGAGCTGAACTGCAAAAGCAACAGAGCACCCAACGGAGTTCTCCTGAAAGACACCCTAAACCCTAAACCCTAAACCCTAAACCCCAAACCCTAAACCCTAAACCCTAAACCCTAAACCTTAAACCCTAAACCCTAAACCTTAAACCCTAAACATGACATGCGCCGCTAAGCCCTAACCCCAAAATGAACGGCGGTATGCTTTTCCGGCGGTTGCGAACAAGCGCTTCACGCGCCGGGTTAGCCGATCCGCCGAAAACTGGTGCCGGCGCGCGGGGGCGCATTCTGCACCCCCCGACGGCCCAGGGCGGTCGGCTCCCGATAAGGGTGGAAGAGGGTGGGACAGAAAAGCGGGCGAAGCGGCTTAATGCGGCGACAGCTACGGCGGTCGACGCTTCACATGTCCTAACGCACAAGGAATGTGCTACACGACATGCGCCGCTAAGCCCTAACCCCAAAATGAACGGCGGTATGCTTTTCCGGCGGTTGCGAACAAGCGCTTCACGCGCCGGGTTAGCTGATCCGCCGAAAACTGGTGCCGGCGCGCGGGGGCGCATTCTGCACCCGCCCGGCGCACCCAGCCCCCATAAAAGCGACGGCACTAACGAAACTCCCACGAGTCAGAAACCGCCGCGAGGTCGTCGCCAGCCATGTCGGACGCGTACTCGACGTCCACCGCCGCCTTGGCCAGGACCATCATAATGGCCTCGTCGGGGACGTCGACCCACTCCCAGCCGAGCTCCTGGGCCTTGGAGAGGTCGTCGCGGGAAACGGCGTCGGAAACATTGGCTTTCGACGGGACCCGGCGGAACTGGGGGAACCAGGCGAACCTGGCCGCCGACGCCCAAAAGGCCGCTAACACGCCGTTAACCGACGTGTCCCTGCCGTACCCCTTCAGCAGGGCGAACTGGCCGGCGACATTGTCGATGTACGCCAGCCAGAATCGGGGTAGCCGACGGCCGAACGCGACGAGGGCGAAGACCTGGGCGAGGATCTCCAAGACGTAGATGAACGCCTTGCGAGCGGCGAAGTGCTTGAGAAACCACGACGGGACCCTGCCTCTGCTGTAGAGGACGCGGGCGCCGACGCGGAGCACAAAGCCCCAACCGTTGTTCCAACGGTCACGCGGGGACGCCCGGGCCGACGTCGGGACGAAACCCGCTTTGTGCACCAGGTCGCCCTCCTGGAAGAACGCGTCGGCGTAGAGGACGGCGAAGGGCTCCGAGTCCGGCGCAAAGGGGAAGAACCGAGGCTGTACTCGTCGAAGAAGGGCGGCCAGGGCCCGCAGCGCCGACCTGAGCCCAACTGACAGCTCGTCGTCCGACGTCGCCGAAGTGTCGGACGCCCGGGCGTAGACCGGCTTGAGGGCTGCCTTCCCGACGGCGCCGAAGGTGGCCTGGGTCAGGAAGGTGAGCTTCCCCGCTAGGCGCTGGGCCGCCGCCGGCGCGAGCCTGTTGGAGACCAGGGCAGACTCGATGGCGGCGAGCAGCCGGCTCTCCGTTGGTCGCAACTCGACCCCGTCGCGGCGCACCTGGAATGTGACGCCCTGTACGACGTGGGCAGTGCCCGGCTCCTGGGCCTTGGACGGCTTCGTCCGGAGCCCCAGCAGGGCGAACAGGTCCGCGAAGCCGTCGAACGCCGACTGCGCCGTCTCCGGGAAGTCCACGGCGTTGAAGTCGTCGACGTAGTGGCCCCCGACGATGAGCAGGAACTGGCGCAGCAGGACCTGCAACGCGTCGCCTGCCCTGTTTTCACCTCGCCAGATGCCTGGTATGTCCGCCGCGCCAAGATCTCGACGAGCGACGCCGGGGTGTAGAGCTTGGACGTCGTGTGTTCGTGCCACATGCGCGCCAGGACCTCTTCGGCGCCCAGCAGCACATGGGTGGGGAATCGGCGACGTTGGCCGCCGAGCAGGCGGGCATTGAACGCCTCCACCTGCGCCGCCCACGCCGGGAACAACTTGGGCGGCCTCTCGTCGACCCTAGGCGGGGGGGCCGGCGCTGGACCTGCCGCCGCGGCGGGCGCCACCGGCGTTGGCGGAGCCGAGTGTAGCTCCCACTGGCGACGGGCCTCCATCCAGCAGTGGGTCAGGATGGCCTGGACCACCGGGGCCACCTCGTCGGCGGCCTTGTGCCGCGTGCCGGCGACGTCGACGCCATTGAGGAACGGCTGGACGACGACCTTCACAAAGTCCTCGGCCGTCGTCGCCACCAGTGCAAGCGTCGACGTGCGGTCGATGGCCCGCGCCTTCAGGTAGGCGACGGTGTCAGGTCCCGCCCCCGCCTGGGTCGTGAGCTCGTCGAAGCCGATGATCGCCGAGGCCACCGTGGGGATGGCCGCCGCCGCCGCGCCAGCCATGTTGGGCAACGGCTGAAAGCTACGACTCACGACGAACCTCGGAAAACTGGCGGTCGGCAACAAAGGGGGTGGTAGGCCGCGGAAGGGGGGGGGGGGGGGCCAAAGGGCGCTCAGAACCGACGCAGTCAAGGCAAGCACGACGCAGTCGAGACCATTTTGGGCGACACGGCGCGTCAATCAAAAATACCGACGCGACGGCGCTTTCAGCGCCCCCTCGGCGGGAAACAAATAGGGCAGAGCACCTCCGGCGACGGGGGCCATTCCAGCCTCCCCCTTAGGGCGTTCGCCGTCGCCATGCGGCCGCACGCCAAACACCTGGGATCCGCCGTCAGGTAAGGCGACGGGGATTGCAGGTGCACCTGCGCCACGCGGCCCGACGGGGTCCGCTCGACGATCGCCGGGCGGCCAATCCAGTCACGGAGCTCCGGCGGGTACATGCCACGGATCGCCGACCACGTCGGTGGCGACGGACCGTCCGCCCCAAACCGGGCCCGCAGCGACGCCAGCGGCGCATCCGGGGACCACATCGACGTCGTCGAAGGCTGCGGGCAGAAGGGCCGAGGATCTTCTGCATAAAGGCAGCCCGGCGGCCTGGGCGGCGCCGTCGGTACGGCCCGGTCCTCCCGGAGAGCTCCCACCAATGGCGGAGCGCAAGCGCCGCCGCCGGAGACATCGCCGGCGGGCAGGGCCCGCGTCCCACGAAACCAGCTGCGGACGACGGCGCCGGGCCCGGCGGCAAAGGGGCGCACGCCCAAGCCAACCTCACCTCCACGGGGAGTCCGACGTTGACGCCTCGACGCTCTCCCCTCCGTCTGCGAATACCTCGTCGACGAGAGGAGGTCGTCGGGGTCCAGGAGGGATGGGTCGGAGTCGCCGCCCTCCGACTCCTCCGACGACTCTGCATCAGCGAAGTCGTCGCTGAGCATGCCCTCGTCGGCTCCGTCGACGGGCTCCTCCTCGTCGGGGCCGCTGCTCGGGGTCCTCTCGCCGTCCATCTCCGACTGAATCGCCGCCATGGGAGCCATGGTGCAAACGACGAAGCGGCTGCGAGTTAGGGAGGGGGGCCGGCGGAACAAGAGCTCACAACAGCGACGGCGGCCCAGGAACCTCCCACAGCAGAACCGTCGGGTGGAGGGGGCGGGCAGGGGCATGCACAGACACGCCGCGTGAAACAGGACGCACCCCCCTGGATGTTTCTTACGACGAAGAAGAGCACGACGAAGCCGCGTCCGACGACTCTGAAAGGGCCGACGGGGATTCAATCTCTTCCGTCGGTTCCAACTCAGGTTGCGCCTGAGGCCGGGGCTTGAAGCACCTAAGGCACTTTACAGGCGACGGCGGTTCCGCCGACAGTCGGTAGTGCGACCTGACCCTGTGGGGAATCCACAAGGGGCCTGCCACAGGAGGCTATCCCTAGTGGATTCAGCCGCGTCGGTCCTGTGCAAACGACGTGTTCTCGCCGCCATAATGCACACCATCGACGCCTCGGGCGCCTCGGGGAGGTGGGAGGGCCAGGGCCGGCGCCAAGACGTGCACCACCTCTGGGAGCTCCCAGGCTCCAGGCGGACCGTCGGGCCCAGCCGAGCCAGCAGCCAAAGCGTCGGGGGGCGCGTCCGCAATCGGCGGGGCCCCCGCGACCTGTGAGCACAGGTGTAGCCGCTCGGGGCTCTGCTGTGTCGTCGCGGCGAGGGCCGTCGCCGGCACTTCCGGTGCCGCGGCGAGGGGCGCCGCCTGAGTATACCTCAGGATGGCCGAGGACCACCAGCGCCCGAGGAGTTGGATCACCTCGATGGGCACCCCCTTGGACGCCAAGAACGTCGCCCCGGCTACACGGGCGAGGTGTCCCCTGAACCTGGGCCGGCGTCTCCCAATCGGGTCGACGTACATGCAATCGATGCCGGCGGCACGGAGGGCCTGGAGCGCCGCCTCGACGAAAGCACCCTTGGTGAACTCACCGCCGGCGGCCCCTGGCACCAAGGGCGCGTCGAACTCGACGACCGCCGCCATGTGCAATCTGGCGAGGTGACGCACGGCCGCGTGCACGGGGCAGAGGGGGTGGGTCGCCGCGCCGCAAACGTAGCGCAAACTGCGGCGAGTGAGCTCCCTCTCCCCCCCCTGAGCCACCTTGTGGATGGGGACCGACAAGGCCACCTCTCGGTCGCCGAGCTGGAGGTCCCCCAACCGCGCCGCGGCGATCTCCACCTCCCTGAGCATGAACCAGCACGCCAGGATCAGCACGTCGACCATATGGGGTACAGCGCCGAAGACGAACGGCGCGGCGACGAAGTGGACCTGGACCACCGTCGCCAACTGGAGGAACGGGAACGCCTCCTTGAGCGTCGTCGCCGGGAGGCCCCGAAGGACCGAGCGGACGTGGCGGCGAATGGACCGCGCCACCAACGGGTCCAACGACGATCCCAGGTAGGCCTCCTGGTGCCACCTGGCTGCGTCGAAGTACCCCTGGGCGGACCGGTAGGCACCGGCCTTGAACGACGCCGCCATGACCCTCACCAGCTCGACGGTGATGGGGAAAGGCTCCATGCCCCACGCCTCGGCGAGGCGTCGCCAAGTCCTGAGGCGTGACTCGACGGGGCCCCTGGAAGACGCCGCCAGGAGGCCTTGGTCGACGAGCTCCAGCGACCTCTTTTAATAGAATTTTGGGCTTTTAGTATTCTTCTCACGCCCGTATAAATATCTTGTTTGGGCGTGTTATTAATATTATTGCCGCACGTTAAAAGACTTATTTTGTGCGGCTCACTGCGTACATTCGCGCACCCATTAAAATACAAGAATTCTGGTGCGCATTTCGTACGCCCTTTTACTTCGTTCAATCGCGAATGAATTCACGCTTCACTGCGTTCATTGTAATTCATTCTCTCATTCACTTCGTTCAACCACTTATTCTAATGGTAACACTATGAGTGAAGAGAGCTCAGGGTCCAGCGTGAAGAAACCAACCTCGCGACTCCAAGACAGATGGTGCGTCATAAGGTTTTACGTGGAGACAGTGGTTAATGTGTGTTGTCAAGGAACCCGCGGTTCTGCGGCTTGGCCGCGGCGAGGGCTGCCTGGAGCGACGCCGACGCCTCTCTCCTGCGGACCGGGACGTCGGACCGGACAGGCGCCACCACCAAGGGCTGCGCCGTCTCCGCCGCACTCGCCCGCAGGCCCACCAAGGTCACAACGTCGCTCGGGGGGACGCCGGCGGCGATCAGCGCGTCGGCGCAGGAGGCCACGTCAGCCAGCGACCTAGCGCCGCACTCGGCGAGGGCAGGAAGGCATCGCTGCAGGCCGGCGTCGGTCACTACTTTGACCAGCTCGGCAAAGGAGCCCTTCGGCGCCGACTGAGCGACGAACATCTTGAGCCAACCTAGGCGAACTAAGGTGAAACGTCGAGAACGCTCCCGCGAAGGAGGCTTACATGTGCAACGACGTGCGTCCCGGAAAATGGCGTCGGAAGAAAAGGGGGTGAAACAAGCTGCCGCACCCGACGTCGACGACGAAGATGTAGAAGGCGTCGACGACGTCCAGAGGGGTGGCCAGTCCGCCATCCGGCGTTGTCAGGCGCAGCCCGCCGACGATGCGCCCTGCCCCGGCGACGACGAAGGAGCTGGGAGGGCGGCCCGCTCCTCACGCTCCACGTCGCGTTGCGCCTGATCATACGCCGCCGTGGCGACCTGATCGACGGCGACGAGGCACTCCGGGCAGGAGTGGGGCTCATGCGCATTGTTGACGCCGAGCACGACGGGCCGAAGGCAACGGCCTTCGCCGCGGCAGTAACGCCCCGACGTGCAATGGTGGGCGCACCAACCGGCGATCTTGCGGCCCTTCCTGGCGTGGGGCACCGGTATGCGCCCGCCGCGGACGTTGCGCGGCAGCCGGCGGACGTAGAAGTACGTCGCGAACTGGCACCACCGCACCGTCGGGTCGTCGGCGGCGTTGCGCTCAATGGCCTGGAGCTCGTCGAAGTTGTCCAGGGCGAGGGCGGCGAACGCCGGGTCGTTCGGGATGTGCTCCGCCCCCGCCCCGTAGACCTCCATGCGCCGTTTGTAGTCGGCGTACTCGGGGTCGAGAGACTCGGCGAAATCGGCCCGAGTGCGAGCGTTTGCTCGCTGTTCGGCGAACGCCGCCTGCTCCAGCCGATCCCGACGCGCCGTGGTCGCCGAGGAGGCCCTCCGGGACGACGAGGAAGGCTTGGGTCTCGCCGGAGGGTCCTCCATCTGCAGGATCTCCCGGGAGATCTGATCCTGCAGATCGACGGAGGGAACCGGCGGGAAGATGCTCTTCGGCAACGCCGGTGGGGCCTTCTTGGGCGTCACCGCCGGTTCCGGCGAGGGCTCCGCCGTCTCCGTCGTTTCGGCGATGGTGTCCATGGGGGCGGTGTGGACGACCGGCGGTGCCTTCGGCCTAGCGGCCTTCGGCGTAGACGCCGCCGGCGTCGCGGGGGCCGGGCGGGTGTGCTTGGGCTCGTTCCCGCCGGCCGCCGGACCCCCGCTGGCCCCTGATCCAGCCAGTGATGTCGCCGTCGGGGACGTCGGCGTGGTACTGGTAGAGGACGTGCCGCCCGCCGCCGAAGATCTCGTCGACGGGGTCGCCGACGACGCCCACATGGGCGGCGCGGCCAACGGCGTAAACGTCGAAGGTTTCGAAGACGCCGCCGCCGCCGAAGATGTGGCCGTCGCGGTCGTCGTGCCGCCAGAAGATGCCGAAGTCGCCGAGGTCGCCGAAGTGGGACCAGCCGCCGCCGCGCCACTCGCAGCTGCCGCCGCCGACATCCTCGCCGACCCCTCAACCGTCGTGCGCTCTCCCCCCGTTGAGCCCTGTACGGGTGGGCCTTCACCGTCGAAGATGACGGGGGGGAGGCCCAGGCGCTGGCGCACCCGGACCATCAACGTCGCATGGGCCGCGACGAATTGGGTGCGCGTCTCGAAGGGCAGCGACGCGACGAAGTTGAGCGCCGACTGGGGGTCGGCGAGGATGTGCGCCAGGAAGTCGGCGACGCGCTGCTCGTCGATGGTCTGGATGGAAGACATCGCGTCGAGAGCACTACGGCAGTGAACAGAAAAGCGGGCGAAGCGGCTTAATGCGGCGACAGCTACGGCGGTCGACGCTTCACATGTCCTAACGCACAAGGAATGTGCTACACAACAACCCACATGATCCTCCAAGTACTTCCGAAAAAATTTCCGAGCACCGGCGGCATCCGCAGCTCCCTCACAGCGGCCCAAAGCTGCGAGGCCGTCAGCAGGTCCCGACCCTCGTCGAAGGCCACAATCCTGGGTTAGGGGGGTTTAGGGTTTAGGGTTTAGGGTTCAGGGTTCAGGGTTTAGGGTTTAGGGTTCAGGGTTCAGGGTTTAGGGTTTAGGGTTTAATTAGGGTTTAGAAGCTTTTGGGTGGCGGACGGATGTGTAGGCGACGTTCTGGGTTTGTGCTCGTCCGGGTTGACTGTTCAGTCTCCACGGAGGTCTACACTGTGGCGTATCACATGCGCAGCACATGCCCACGGCCTTTCTCAAAAGGCAGAGTGAGCACAGTGCGGTTTCTTTCCAGCCGCATGTACACCCTCAGCTGGTTCAGGGTTCTAAGATGTCTGGAGGCCTGGACCTAGTCCTTAGAAGCAAGGGGTCAGAAATAGGCTTGATACTGTTGCCGCGCTGCATCTCGCCTGCGAGCCGGCACCAAGCATCTTAGAAGTCGACATGGTGACGCGTGCTGCTTCAACAGAACAAAAAAACACCACTGGGAGCGGGAAGCAAGCTGCTTTTTTGCCGAAATTCCCAAGCAAGTCCTGCTCGAGGGCCGCCCGCTCTTCCTCTCCGATGGGCGACCGGGAAGTGACGTAGGGGCAAACCACCAGCCCGAAGGCTGTCAAGCTGACCCCTCCGGTGACGGTGCCTCAGTCGCTTCAGGGGCTGCCTTTAACTCTTTCTTCGAGACGTCATATCATATCAACCCTAAACCCTAAACCCTAAACCCTAAACCCTAAACCCACTCATATCATATCATTTTTAAAAAATATAATATCAATCCCTGCAAACAAGGCCGGGCCAGCGCCTTCATCGCAACGTACATCCAGTCTCCATCCTACACCATCCCCAACAAGGTCCCCCCAGAACGGCGGCCTGGGTGCAGACCCCGCGCACGCCTCCCCAGACTGCCCGCAGCAGGTACCCGGACACCCCGGGCTTCGAGGCCTTCTGCGCGCTGGCCACCGTGGACGCGCCCATGGAAAAGGGCGGCCGCGCCACGACCTGAATCGGCAACGGCCGCCAGGCACGCCGGGCACCCTGGGAGCCCAGGAAGACGCGCATCTTGCCAAGGGCCATGGCTGCTCTGACTGTGCACTGCCTTGTCTGCCAACACTAGACAGGTAGCGGAGTTGCTTTGCGGACGAGCTTGCGTGTGTTTGCGGATTTGCTGAGCCAGCCTCATGGACGCTAGTTCCTGCAGCCTTCCGAGAACACAAGCAAGCCACTTTGGCCCCCCCAATAGAACACGGCCCCCGAGCGTAAATGTGCCAGGCGGGCAACGTAGTTGCCGAAGGTGTTGGTGCACATTGCATAGATGACTTCCGGCCTCAGACGTTTGGTGCAGAATTACGGTTTGGCCAGGGGATGCTACGACAGCTCATCCTTTCAGTTGTCTGTGCGTCTCCAATCAGGAACTGCGGCCTCTCTAGAACCGTTCGCATCAGCAAGTTGCGCTCCTCCACTGGGGCAGGCGAACTGCGGGCATTTCATCGATGTGGATTCTCGGACGTGTTTCATGTATCGACTTGGCGCTGCATGCTTCTGGGCCCCTAACAACTTACTGTCGAACATGAGGCACAAGTCATACGAAGTCCTGCTGGATCATCGGGTCATCCGCATTTTCGCCCACAGTGGCCGCCTCGAAACACTTCTCGACCACCTGGTAGGTGCCGTGTCGAAGCACTGGACTGGTTTAGGGTGTTTAGAGGGTGTTTACCGAGTTTAATAGGGTTGAAAATAGCTGTTTATAAGGCCTGTGTCGGGCTTTTGTGGGTTTTTAGTGTTTCTTGGGTTTGTGGTCTAGGGTAGGCTCTTGGTCCAAGCAAAAGTCCGCACGGCACACATTGCTAGCAGTCCAGAGCTAGACTCAGGCAATCTCAGGCAAAGCCGCATTGCTCGAGAACTTTTCCTTCGAGAACTCGGCAATGTTTTGCCGGATCGTCTCGATGATACCTGGGACTCATGTCTGCGATTCTGAACCCTAAACCCTCAACCCCAAGCCCTAAACCTAAAAAAAAACCTGTAGTCCGGTGGCGGCTAGAGAATTTGGGAACTTGTGAGCCTCTTAAGTTGCGGCGAAACCTAGTGAGCTAGCTACGTTGATGCAACATTTGTGGCTACTGTTGCTCCTTCTGCCCGAGGCACGTTTCTTGTCCTCCTTGCGGCCGTGCTCGAGCATGTGCTGCACCACCTGCAGCGAGCAGGCTCAGAGACATTCTGGTCGAATTGTTTCTGCTCTTCTTTCATGATGTTGACGCCTCTCCACCTGGCTTGCTCTACACACGGACGGATGAACAGCAAGCGATTGGGCTAGACAGGAATTCAGGAGATTTACATCTCCGCACCGTCATCATTGCCTTTAATTGAGAAGGAGAGCTGGTTAGGGCAGCTACGGCACAGAAGTCCCCAGAGGACAAGAACGGCATCAGGGCACAGTTAAGGCTACTCGAGACCTGAACCTCGAACGGTCAACGTGGAGTTCTGGAGTCCCAGGAACTGTCTCTCTGTGAGTGTTTTGCGGATTTTCCTTCATCTGTGTGAACATGGCGCCCCCATCAGAAGCTACGGCAGTTTTGAAAAAAGCATGTTGCCGATGGCGGCCTCCGACTATTTGCCCCAGCCCTCGCTGACTGAGTGCAGAGCATAGTTGCCGTAGGCATCTTTTGCCAGAACGGCCACATTCATAAGGATTTTCTCCAACCTGCGGATGCCCACTTCGGGCTTGTGTGTAACTCAAAGACACCAAAACAGGGCCCAAACGTGGCGACCACCAACATGCAACTCCCCACTTCTGTTCTGAGGACACGATGCAACGGTCTTAAAAGTCGAGTTGCATTGGCTCCAGCTGCGCTGAAACGCAGTGCTCCAGAAGGCGCTGGATCACACGGCAGCCGTACCTCGGTCTCGCAAACAATGCGAAATTTGCGGAACAACCTGCTGCAGTAACCGCCCACCGAATTGCAATCAGCAAGGCCGTCTCTCAGCAGCATTTAGCACAAAGTCGCTCTCAGACGTGTGACCACGGGTATCTCACATACTCTGACCAGCCCGACCAATTGGCATATCAAGGCCCGAGAGCCAGGGCCAAGGTAAACAAGGACAAGGCAATTCACTATTTGCTTAAGAACCCCCCCAAGAAATGGAATTCATTTGCTTAAGAGCCCCCCAAGAAATGAAATTTATCTTCCTTATAAGGGCAATATCGGGGTTGATACTACACATTTTTTAGGGTTCTTAAGCAAATGGAAGTAAAAATGGTCAGAAGCAGCTTGGGAGTCAGATGCATCAGTGGAGGCATCAGCAAAGCAACCCCTTGCACAAGAAGCCTCATGCACAAAGCAGCTGAGGTCGTGGCACGTGCTTCGCAGTATCTTCAGCCTTCTGTTCCACCTGACCCAAGGATGCACAGCCAGATTTCACCCTTAGGTCCTGCCCACGCCGCAGAAATCTGCAAGGACATCTGGGTCAGGAGCAGCTTTGATGACGAAGTTGACGGAGTCCGGCGGCATCTGCTCGATGCACTTTTGAATCACCTCATACGGTACCAGAGTAAGAAAAGCAGAAACATCATGAGACCTCTGGGTAGAACGAGCCGGCTAAGTTGAGGCACCCCAACTCACCCCAGCTCATTCACAGCACCATACAAGTACCAAAGCTCGGTGCCAAGTTGGCAGGCAAGGGGCATGATTTCCATGCATGTTCCTGCAAACCATCAGAAACACGTACACCCCCCTATGCAACGTGGATATCAAGGCGAGCCGGCTGGCTATGGCTGTGATACTATGGGTAGAGACCCAACTCGAGAGACCTAACTCGAGAGACATCACAGGGTCTCCTGATGCAGGACTCGACGTGATCCTCCAGCTCCCGCGCAATCTGCTGCTGGGACTCTTTGGAGACAGCCTGAATGGCCTGAACCGTCAGCACTGTGATCATCTGGCACTCCCACGGCAAGGCCTCTGAACCCTACACCCTAAACCCTAAACCCTAAAACCTAAACCCTAAACCGCCATTCTCCCCAGGCACTTTCTGGATGACGCGGCAGCCGTACTGGTCTTGCGAGAGCGCCGCGACGTTGTCCGCCAGCGCCCGCACCAAGGCCTGCCACAGGATGCCAGAAAATGCCACAGGATGCCACCCTAAACCCTAAGTCCTAAACCCTAAACTCTAAACCCTATAACCCTAGCCCTAAACCCTATACATTCTCGCAAACGCCTAGATGGGACAACACAGCAACATTGGGCACAAAGCGGGCGAGAGGGGATTGGCTCAAGGCACATCTCCAACAGCTCCCCCTTGCAGTGTGGAGTGACACGTGACATTGCTCATCTCTGCAGACTTCCGCCTTCTTCTGCCTGGGCCGAGAGTCAAAGGGCAGACAGAAACGAGGGAAGACCAACCATGAAGATACTCCGGCATAAGGGTTTAGGGTTTCGGGTTTAGGGTTTAGGGTTTCGAAGTTTCGGATTTTCGGATTTAGGGCTTCGGATTTAGGGTTTAGGGTTTCGGCGGTTTAGGGTTTCGGTTTGAGGGCTTAGGTCCTCAAGAACCGCACCACCCGAACATCCCAAGCAACAGACCAGCCAAGTCCCGAGCTCTGTGTCTGCAGTGTCAAAAATCTTCTGGACCTGCGCTGCGAGAGGGGGCTGAGGGTTTAGGGTTTAGGGTTTAGGGTTTAGGGTTTAGGGTTTAGGGTTTAGGGTTTAGGGTTTTGGGGTTTTGGGGTTTCGGGCTGTTCGCTGCAGCAAGAGATAGGATTTTGCACCAACCCTTCAAGACGTGAGCTTCTCCGGGGGTCTCTCTTACCGCACATTATCTCAGGGCTCCCATGATGAACCAGCGGTACACGTGAACATGTATGCCGACAATGTCTGAGATCAAAGCTGAACAGATGAAAAGCAGCAAAACGAACAACCATCACACCAGCCGCTCTAAGAGGCAAAGAAAGTTGCTGAGGATCCCTGCCACATGGTTGGCGAAGACTTCCTTGGACAGTTCTGCAGCATCATCCTGAATCGCCTGCACAAGAAGGCTCATCGATACTGAAGCAAACCGAAACCAGGCTCACTGCTTCTCGTGTATGGCTTCCTAAACCCTAAACCCTAAACCCCGAACCCTAAACCCTTAACCCCCATACAACGCATCGGGCGCACCGCGTAGACCCGTTGCTTGACATCAGGCGATGCCTTCGCGGGGTCAGGGCAGGACTTGCGGCAACAAAGTTTCTTTTCTGACCTGCATCTACCTTCGTCATAGACGTGCGCGATGGAATGCAGGCTTACCATGTCAACCGTCGTCTGCTTCAGAAATCCACAGTACACTGCATAACCAACCTCATCCAACTTCTGCTGCAGAAATCGACTGCCATGCTGATCCTGGCAAGAGCTGCGAGCCATTCAGAAGCTTCCAAACTCTTCCCCCCCATGCACGGACAGTCCTTTGCGAACTCCACGACCAAATTCTCGGTCAAAACCTCCTCGAGTGTCACATCTCGCTGCTTCCGCCGAACCTTCCGAATGCCCAGGGGACCGGCAATCACATTGACTATGCCCCTAGAATTTAGCTTGCGCCGGCTATCTCAGGCTGGCCAAACCCAAGTATCTCGTCGCTTGAAGCATAGGGGTTTAGGGGTTTAGGGGTTTAGGGTTTAGGGGCTTAGGGGTTTAGGGGTTTAGGGGTTTAGGGGTTTAGGGGTTTAGGGGTTTAGGGGTTTAGGGGTTTAGGGGTTTAGGGGTTTAGGGGTTTAGGGATTTGCAGTTCCGTTGACGCCTGGTTCAACAACAGGCTGAGGTTTGCATCGTCTTCGATTGCGGCGCTCGGCTCGTCCTTTGCAGAGCTCCATGAGCGCAAGTGGCGTCAGACAAGATGGCCCCTTCAAAGCAGCAAAAGCGTGGTCACCTGAAACCTACCTCCCTAAACCGCGCTCCAATTCACACAGCAAGGCTGGTCCGATCTCAAGAGGACTGCCCTAACCCCTAAACCCTAAACCCTAAACCCTAACATGGAATGGTTCAAAAGGGAAAGGCCCTCAACTGCCCACGGCTCCCTTCACCACATCGGCGGAGGTCCTTGGCGTTCTTGCCCTGACCAAGAGATGCCACTCCCCACATGTGGCGTGCTTACCCAGAGACTCCGAAACCTCTTAACTAGGGAATGTACCTTAAATCATATTCGGGTTCCTATTATGATTTAAGGGATATTCCTTAATTCAGGGGTTTGGGAGTCTCTGGGTAAGCTGTGAGGAAGCTGCCCCGGTTTTGAGGTATTGTACAGAAAAGACCGGCATGCTTCACAGAACTGATTTTGTCGTATGCAATGGGTCAGAAACAGATTGCCTGACCCTGACAGAACCGTGCCATGTGCACCAGACATCCTTCTTGGACTCCAGCATGATGCGAGGTAGCAAGCAAGTCAAGAACCACGCGCAGTCGAAAAGAAGGATTCGCTCGCATGCTTCAAGACAGCCCAAGAATGGGAGTGTGGTCTACATGTTCTCTGCTGCCGGCTTTAGAAAACAGAAGGGCTGCAGGGTGCTGGAGGGGCTTCGGGTTTAGGGTCGGAACGGCTCCTGTTTCTCCGGCAAAGGGCTCGTTTCTTCTGCTACTCTTGCGTGGGTGTCAAATAGACAAAGTCAGCGCCTGAACCACGATCTTGTTTTGAGGTTTTTTGGACCAATAGCATAGCAGTGCTGAACATGTTCACATGGCTTTATCTCGCCATCCTGTTCCCCGTGACAGGTGGAACGTATGTGCGCATTATGCATTCACTCAATTTTCGCCTTGCACCATGTGTGTTGGGACATGTTGTGACATATCGGGACTGAAGTTAAAGTAATTGCTGCAGCCTTTCCGCGAAGCACCTCATATAGAACTGCGGACAGGAATTTCAGGCTGAACATCGGCAAGCCAAACCCGAAGCCACCAGGGGTTGCTTTTGTTCTACCTTGAGCCCGTGAAGGGCCAGCGCATTGAACTGCTGGGGGCCTTGGTCCGCCTCTTGCCCTTCGGCTCGCGGGCGTTCTTGCCTCCTCCTGCAGGAAGAAGGAGCGCAAGCGCACAGGAGTTCCGAAAGTAGGGGTTGTGCCCCTTTTTTTGAAGCTCCTACAAGAAGGGATATGGGGTTTGCGAAAATAAGGGACCCCTAATATAGACCCCCAAAGTAGTAGGGTTCCCTAAAAATGAGGACCGCAAGAAGGTACCCCTAATTTCGTAACCCCCATATGGGTGGTTGTCAAAATTATGGTCCTTTTTTGGATCCCTATTATCAAACGGCACCTAATATTTAGGGTACCCCAAAAGAGATCATATTTTTGACGACCACCCATATACCATCTTGAGGTGTACAAGGAAGTCCCCCTATTTTTGGAAAATGCCCACATGCGGAAACAGTCGTAAAAGTACTCTGCAGCAACCCAGAGGAAGAAACGGCCAGCCAACAGCCAACATGCAATCACTGGTCCACACACGCCACTGTGCAAATAAACCCTAAAAACCCTAAACCCTGAACCCTGAACCTTGAACCCTAAACCCTAAACCCTAAACCCTGAACCCTAAACCCTAAACCCTCTGTCCCACAGACGGCTCTGCCGGGATTCGTCCTCCGCCTGCCTCAGGCTTGTTGCGCGACTTCGCCTCGGACAAGCTGGAGGTTTCCGAGTTAAGGGGTGCCTTAGTGGGGTCCTTACTAGAAGGGAATCCTGGTAGTTGGGGTCATAGATTGGAGGTCCCCTATTTGCGTAAACCCGCAGATGGCAGAATCATGCAGAATCATTGTCGGGGTTGAGGGTTTTAAGGGATTTTGGGTGGAATTGAGGTTGGGGTTTGAGAGTTTGGGGGCTTTGGGGGGATGTAGGGTTTGAGAGCTGGGAGGTTTGGCGGGATTTAGGGTTTGAGGTCAGGGTTTGAGAGTTTGGGGGTCTTGGGGGATTTGGGGGATGCAGGTTCGGGTTTGAGAGTTTGGGGATTTTGAAGGATTTAGGGTTTGAGGTTAGGGTTTGAGAGTTTGGGGGCTTCGGGGAAAGGTTTTGAGGTTAGGGCTTGAGAGTTGGGTGGCTTTGAGGGATTTGGGGTTTGAGGTTAGGGCTTGCGGGTTTGGGGGTTTTGGGGGATTTAGGGTTTAGGGGATTAGGGTTTGTGGGTTGGGGGGGGGGGGGATTCTGGGGATTTAGGGTTTTAGGGGTTTCGGGCCTGGGGGTTTAGGGTTGGGGGTTTAGGGTTTGGGGTGTTGGGGTTTAGGGTTAGAGGCTTGGGGGTTTAGGATCTTGAGGTTTAGGGCTTAGGGTAGCATACTGACATCTGCAGAAGAAAGGTGTGGGGAGCTCGGGCCGGTACGTTCTTGGATGATGCAGCCGTTTGCCTGAGCATAGCTGAGCAGCTTGAGCCGGGAGAACAGATAGGGCTGACACAACATGACAAAATGTGACAATGAAATGATGTGCAGACGACTCCCTAAAAGACCAGAAAATGTAGCGGACGACACCCAAAACCCTAAACCCTCAACCCGAAACCCTAAACCCTAAATCCTAAACCCTAACCCGAAACCCTAAGGCAACATGAGGAGATACGCAGCCAAGGCACTCAGGCATTGTCGGCACAGGCATATGAGGGAACATCGGCATGGCAGGCATTCCTGTCCGAGCGCGGAGTCCATCAGAGTACCCACAGACTGGGTTTAGGGTTAAGGGTTAAGGGTTTAGGGTTTAGGGTTAAGGGTTAAGGGTTTAGGGTTTAGGGGTTTTATTCGGGTCTAGGGTTTAGGGGTTTGTTGCGCCTGGGTACATCGGCGGCGGCGGCATCATTGTGTAGGGCTGAGTAGGGTACCTCACAGAGATCTTGAGAACTTAACAGAACTTGGGGAACCAGCCGCGACAACGAGAAGCGAAGAGGTGTCTGCACAAAGCCGAGCGTAAGGACAAGGCGGAATGTACGCGTTGTAACCACCCGCTGGGGGTGGACCCGGCGCGTAGGGAAGCGGCATCCCTGCATAGGGGTTGGGATACGCTCCAAACCTGAGTGCAACAAAGATCGTGACCAAGAGCAACTTCTCCATGTGCACGTCTAGGCAGCTGTCCTGACACACCCGACTGTGTTGGTTGCTTTACTGCTTTCCGGGTCACGCCGCCAGATCCGGCGGGAGTGCCTCCAGCCGGCACACATGCAAGCAAGCTCGCCGTGACACCGCTGGCACAGATAAACACCGCCCTTCGCCTGAGGTGGAGGAGGAGCCCATCCAGCAGCCGGTGGGGACTGCGCTTGTGGCGTCCTCAGAGAGGGCTCTTGGCTCCAAGGACTCCGTGGAGCTTTGAAGGCAAAGACTTGAGGGCTTGGCTGGTTCTTCCGCTGGTTGCGTCCTCGGCCGCCCTTCCTTTGCCCCTGGAACCCGGATGAACCCGGAACAGCGGGAACACACAGGCAGCCACACACACTGGATAAAAGCTGTCACGACCGTTTGTTCACAAGCCTCGTCTCCTCCTGCGAACATTGACGTGTGAATCTTCTTTGGAGAATCACCGTCCTCAGGGACAAAGCGAGACGGAAGCAGGAGATGGAGAGAAAGGTACCATTGCCTTGCGCAAGAACTGGCACACTCAGCAACTCCCAACTCCTGATCCTGTCTAAGTCCTTCGCATCTCCATCAATAGAAAAGCTCGGGCCGGGACTTTTACGAACATGGCATCATTCATACTGATCCCAGGTTGGGCCGGGGCCGACCCTGCCACGAGACGCTGCTGCTTAAACATCAGAAAACACCCAAAAAACTGCACAAAGGGGGGGGGGGGTTTACGAAAATCAGGGACCCTGAAATATAGACCCCAAATAGTAGGATTCCCTACTAAAATGGACCGCAATAAGGTACCCCGCATATGGTAAACCCCCACATGGCTCACAAAGGCAAAGGCAAAGCCGAGGCCTGTCTCCACCTGCATAGGCTGCAAGGGCCTCGGCTTCGCAAGTCGCATGCTTTACAGGCAACCACCGTGTTTAGGGTTTAGGGTTTAGGGTTTAGGGTTTAGGGTTTAGGGTTTAGGCTTTAGGCTTTAGGCTTTAGGCTTTAGGGTTTAGGGTTTAGGGTTGGAGCATAGCTACTGCCAATAAAACTGCGCACAACGTCGGCTCTTCGGCAGTTGGCCATGTGAGAGGAACAAACTGTTATACCCTAAACCCTAAACCCTAAACCCTCAACCCTAAACCCTACACCCTAAACCCAAAAACTCTCTGCAATTCTTGTAGCTGTCGAGCTGCGGAGCGTTGTTTGTGCGAGCCGCGTTTGCAGCTCGGGCAGCCGCCTGAAGCCAAGTTGTGTCGATCCCGGGGCGAAAGCTGCAACTACAAGGCCTGCACGTGTACTTGGAGGTTCATTTGGGTATTCATAAGTGGGGTTATAAGTAGGGCAACTATACCTAGGTACTTATGAGCCTAGGTATAATTACCCATGAACCTTCAAGTACCATGAGTTCGAATACAAGTGCCGAGTTTGCAGACACTGGCGGTGGATGCCGTGCCAGCTCCTGCTTGCGACATGCACTGCCTGTGCTACTCACAGCGGCCTCAGTTCAACAAGCCCCACTAAACCCGAAACCCTAAACCCTAAGCCCTAAACCCGAAGCCCTAAACCCTAAACCCGAAACCCGAAGCCCTAAACCCTAAACCCTAAACCCTAAACCCTAAACCCTAAACCCTAAACCCTAAACCCCACTGCTGTTCTCTGAGGTGTGCCAGTGACCCTGCCCTGCATCGCTCCAGAAGAGAGCAAGTCAGCCATCCTGCACATGGCTTAGGGTTTAGGGTTTAGGGTTTAGGGTTTAGGGTTTAGGGTTTAGGGTTTAGGGTTTAGGGTTTAGGGTTTAGGGTTTAGGGTTTAGGGTTTAGGGTTTAGGGTTTTCAGTTTTCAGGGTTCAGGGTTCAGGGTTCAGGGTTTAGGGTTTAGGGTTTCAGGGTTTCAGGGTTTCAGGGTTTAGGGTTTAGGGTTTAGGGTTTAGGGTTCAGGGTTCAGGGTTCAGGGTTCAGGGTTTAGGGTTTAGGGTTTAGGGTTTAGGGTTTAGGGTCTAGGGTTTACAGTGTAGGGTTTTGACGTCTCCCCATACTACTAGGACGCTTCGACGGGCACGCGACACAGAAGTGACACGGCGCCTCTGTGGATGTGAAGGTTCCCGACCTACTTCCTTACGCTCGATTGAGCCACAATGTCACATCGAAGAGATCTGCGCAGGTTCAGGGTTTTGGGTTCAGGGTTTAGGGTTTAGAATTGAGGGTGTAGGATTTAGGGTTTAGGGTTTAGGGTTTAGGGTTAAGAGCACATGTGGTCCAGAGATGTCAAGTGTCAAGAAGGGCCTCCTCAGCAGCTTGGAGTCATAGCTGTCATAGCTCTGAATTTAAAAAAAACTCTAAACCCTGAACCTCGAAACCCTAAACCCCTAAACCCTAGGATCCTAAACCCAAGCCCCAAACCCAAAACCCCAAAGCCCCAAACCCAAAACCCACAACCCCTCCCTTCGAAGGGGCTGCGGCTCACCAAGGCTGGGGCACCCTAAACCCTAAACCCCACAAACCCTAAACCCTAAACCTTAAACCCTAAACCCTAAACTAACCCTAAACCCTAAACCCTAAACCCTAAACCCGAACCCCTTCAAAGGGCCACGGACCACCAGGGCCGGGGCCGGTTTCTCCCCGGACCTCCTCGCAAAGCCGCTGCACCTCCCAGGCTGCACTGCCATGGTAAACCCCGGCCCGTGGCAGGGTTGAGGGTTTAGGGTTTAGGGTTTGGGGTTTGGGGTTTGGGGTTTAGGGTTTAGGGTTTAGGGTTTAGGGTTTAGGGTTAAGAGCGTTAAGAGCGTTAGGGTTTAGGGTTTAAGGTTAAGAGCCGGACAAGGGTTTAGGGTCACTTCACGGGTAGCCTCTTGGCAGCAGCTTGCCCCGAGCTTGTTCTGGAACTCCTCCCAATTGCAATGGCGTCGCAAACTTGGAGGTTAATTTGGGTTGCTATAAGTAGGGTGATAAGCCGGGGAACTTTACTGATAACCTTACTTAGGGTCCTTATAGCCCTACTTAGAACTAGCCGTGAACCCCCAAGTAGCCCCCCTAACCCTAAACCCTAAACCCCTAACCCCTAAACCCTAAACCCTAAAGCTAGCCATGAACCTACAAGAAGGGGTGCAGAAACCTTGTGTGCTCTGCGAGCAGTCCTGGCAGATCCTCTCCATGTCGGCCTCCATCTCTCCATGCCTCTTTGCCTCAGCTCTTTAGGGTTTAGGGTTTAGGGCTTAGGGTTTAGGGTTTAGGGTTTAGGGTTTAGGGTTTAGGGTTTAGGGTTTAGGGTTTAGGGTTTAGGGTTTAGGGTTTAGGGTTTAGGGTACCTTCTTGGGGTCCGTATGATAATTTGCACCATGCCATCTGGGGCCTTACGATACTAGGGGTACCTTGTTGCGGTCCTGAATATGAGGGGATCCCTAGCATTTGGTGGTCTATATTCGGGGGCCCTTATTACCGAAAACCCCCATGTCAATGCTGGGACATGTAATCCAACGTTAGGTCCTTACTTATCTTACTTGGACTACGCAAACGAGGAAGCGTGAGCTTAATTTATTCTTCAATTCGATTCTTGTTCCCGGCTGGGCCCCGCGCAAGATTTTCCAGGTTCCGCAGCTCTCGTCCCAGCATGTCCTGACCAGGTACTCAACAATGTGGCGTTCAGGTCTTGTATTTGCCTTTTGTGCATCGGCAGCGTAGCCACAAACAGCACTGCTTTCTTGCATCAAACTTCCACTGAGAGGTCAGAAAGTCAGCAGGCATCTCACGTCATCGAGTTGGGCATACTCTTACAAATCTGCAGCCTGTAAAGATTTTGGCGGCGACCCAACTGTGGCTTTGGGGTTTAGGGTTTAGTTTAGGGTTCAGGGTCTAGGGTAGGTGGTGGACTGGGTCTGGGCGTGATGGAGGTCAGAGTGTAGCCACTGTCAAACACATCGAAAGCAGGCTCTCGAAACAACTCGAAGCATGAGCAAACATGCACCTGTTCGTGTTCAGACTGAATCTTTACAAAACAGCTCCGACAGGTCACACGGAGTGCCCAAGAAGCCACTCGGAAAACATGCCTGTCCAGACCTGTTCATGACATCTCACGACGTTTCAGACGTCTGGGGGGTTGGTTTCGCTGCGAACGGCACTCCACTCTTCTCGGCGGCCTTGCCTAGGCAGACTCCGCCAAAGGCTCGCGGCCCTCTTGAAGATTTCCGATCGGCTTCGTCCGGCTGGCAGGCATGTCTGCACTGATTGTCGGCCAGCCAGGGCCGAACCAGCCCCGCAGCCAAAAGTACGCGACAGCAGCTGTTCCCCAGCCTAAACCCAGGACCACCCCTGCATCGACAGCCTCGCGCCAGGGGTATGGCAAGTGTGGCACCGAGAGTGCGAGACCGGGGATGAGGATTAGAATAAGCAGCCAGCTCTTGACAAGCCTGCGGGGTGTGGCTGAGACAAGCCCAGCCACAAAAAATGGTGCCAGGAGTTTCTCCCAAAAAGGGGAATCCTGTTTCAGTTCACGTGCCCTTCGGATAAGCATGGGCGAGAAGCTCATCTGAAATGCACGCACGCCTTCCACCAGCCAAAGGGACAGGGCGATTGCTGCCTGAGCTGGCAACACACTGCACGGCTGATGCACGAACATGGCCACATGAAGGTCGTTTTTGGGGTAGCAAGGAATTGTGGCTCAACATCTGCGAGGAGCTATGGTAGAAACATCTTACATAGCACTAGGGCCCTCTGCGACGACAGCTGAAACGACTAAGGCTGTGGGCGTATCCAGCCCACTGCAGGCCAGTCAGGTCCATCCGCTTGAAGGGCTGCAGGCCACGCCCCAGCTCCATCGCGATGCAGTCAACGAAGATGTACACCCAGAGACCCACACCTTAGCTGTCGGATGCCCTCGATACCTCATGCTACTTGAACACCCTCCGCCCTTCAAGACCAAGTCGCCCCAAAACTGTGCCAGAAGAGCACATCGATGGCCGCACCCTCGCTGCTGCTCCGCCATGGCGCGGAAAGCGTGAACAATGTACGCCTGCACCTTCACAGTCGCCGGGTTGTGTTTGCAAAAGAGCAAGACCCTCGAATTCGTGAAGTATGCTGCTGGCCTTTACCGGTGTCACACTGGAGCCATAAGTCGCACTGCACACATGCAGTGGCACCAAGGCTTCCACCCCATGTCTGCAAGCTCCCATCTCATGGATAGCGAAGGTTCACACACGCAACATTCGTGAATGCTGTTTCCTGAACCAAATGGGGGGGGGGCAAACCTTAAACGCGCTTGCCCAGTACAGCCCCAACCTATGTAGCTACAGCGCCTCCAACAGCCCACGGCACTCCTGCTCGAGGGGCCTTGGTCTAAGTCTGGACTTCAAAACTGAACGGCGCCTGCCCACAGCAGGACAAAACCAACATGGCAGCTGCGTCCTGGCAGACTACAGGCCCCGTCAAGCTAAGCTAAGCTTGAAGCTTTGTCTCGTGCAAGGCGTGTCGTGCTGAAGCTCCATCGCCTCCACATAGCTACAGCACAGCTGAAAACAAGAGAAATCCAGCTGGAGTTAAATTCTCAAACGAAACAACCCCCTTTCCCATGGAGGTTGCACGCTCCGCACAACAGAAAAAAAATGAAGTCAGGGCTTGTAGTCCTACGAAGACAGAACATTAGACCCGTTGGACATGTGGGAAGAAAGGCTCACTCACCACCAAGGCTCTCGATTTTAGATTGGCGTGCGCGATTCTGATCTGGGGGTCTTGCAGGTGCCACAACTTACTGACGACAAAGCACAAAACTTCCTGGAAGGCAGTTCCATACTGAACTTGGAGTTTTTTGCTGTTTCTGAGGAACTATAGTACCCAAGAATTAAGAACTATTTCCAAGTACCCCTAAGTGTTGCTGTCCCACCTGCTGCTGGCTGTCTCGAAAGTGACACCTCCGGCCTTAGCCACGAGGTGCGAGGCTCTGCTCCCCCCCCTTCGATATATTTCTATATGGTTATGTTGTTATACTGTTTATATTGTTTTATTGCTACATTGCTATACGGTTCTACTGCTATATTGATATATTCCCATATTCTTTGTACGTGGTCCTAGCCATGAGTCGAGTACCTTCTCAAAACATGCGCAGCATTACATGCTACATAATTGTATTGTATTGTATTGTATTGTATTGTATTGTTATATTGGCAAACAGTCATACTGTGTTGTTGATAACGTTTATACATTGAATTTTATTCCCTAGCAGACAAACTCGACAGGTCGTTGAAGCAACTGCGATGTATTGTCAGCTGCCGCACTCTGATGGATCAGTGGAACATGGACTTGCAGGACCGTCAACCAATCTTGAAGCCCGGGCACGGCGGCATCAGGCACCTAATCCCTAAACCCCAACCCCTTGGGAACCTGGAAAAGGCTCCCAGAAACATGAGAAGTTCGGCTCTCAGGAAGAGACTCCGAACTCATCAGTCCAGCCCTGCAGTTTGTCAGATGTCTCCACATGGGTGGTTGTCAAAATTTTGCTACCCCTAAATATTAAATGCCGTATTATAATAGGGATCACACAAAGGGACCATACTTTTGACAACCACCTACATGTGTCCACGTCTCTCCACTCATTGCCGCGGCGCTTTAGTCACATCACCCGAGAATCTCGACGAGTCTCACAGTAACTTCAAGATTGAATCCGACACCATGTGCAGTCAGTATCGTCTTGCAATGAGTGCACAACTAAGCCCTACTGCAGTTGAGTGCGCCTGCAGCAGCAAGCCTCCAGCATGCCGATTCGCACCGCCAGATCGGCATGCTCCTGTTCAGCCTGGAGGGTCAGGACGGTTAGGATTCGCCAGGGGCCCAAACTTGACACAAGCACCCTGCACATGCATTCACATGCTCTTGGAAATCCAGGCCCCCTAGGCCAAGTACTCTTGCCCATTTTTCCTCCGCACCCTCGCCCACCTTGCGGAACTCGGCCGCCGTTCGCCGGGAGAGCGCCGTCCTCGGCGGAGCGGGACATATGGAAAGCCATGCTCTGAGGCTTGCCCAAAGCTGCTGTAGGTGCTGGACAACTTCTGGTCCATTCCGGTTGCTAGCGCGGCCTGCAAAAATTGAAAAAGCAAAGAATGAGCGGCTTCCAGTATTGAAGTGCTCAGGAAGCAAAGCAGCCATGGCCATCCGTGTCTTGGGCAACAGTTCTGTCCCGCCTGACTGCTGATCCAGCACGCGTACCGAGCAAGGGTTTCGTCTACCATCTCAATGTGTAAGATATTCTACCAGTTCCGCCGATTGCATGCAATCTGGCAAATTTGCATGCTTGTGGAAATGGACTGTTTCAGAGTCGCGACGATGCAAAAGCACAATTCCGCAAGCCTGTATCGTGTCAGCAATTTCTTGCCCATGTCGTGGGCTTGAGTAATTGCAACGACATGCAGCCAGAGGCACATGCGAAGTTGCTAACACGATGGTAATAAAATAGAATAATATGGAATACTATCACAACATGAAAATATAAAGCAAAACAAAGAATATTATACTAGAAATAACATGTACTAATATAAACACATTTTCATATTAGAGTCATACCAGAAATATATTGAAAACCATTGAAATACTTAAACATGAGATGAAATAATATGATAATGTAATCATAAAATCATCTTGTAATATGATCAGATAATCACATTTTCACATATTCTATAGTTCTATACTTCTACATGTCCATAAAGACAATCATGTAACAATAGAACAAGAAAACCATGCAAAAATATAATACTAACATAGTATATTAATATAACAATATAGTAGTACAATAATTGATACTAGTTTGATGCTATACAAGATTATGATAATATAAGAACATACTAGTATAATAACACAATCAAGCAATAACATATTAATACATACATATAGTAATATACTGGCATATACTCTCATAAGAACCACTATCAATATATGTTCATAAGATTGTTCAGAAAATGAATCGTTTCTCGAGCAGTGCACAGTACAGCTTACACGTCATCAGGTACATCCCTGCTCTTCAACAAAGTCAGACGGCGGGCCATTTTGCGGCATGTTCTTGCGTTGAGCCGCGTGGATGGAGCGTCGAACATAATTATTGCAACATTACAGTACTATACGAATGTACTATCAGATTCATATATTGGTATGTTTGTATACTAGTATAATATGCTGCTGGCCTGAGCTCTGGCAGGGGCCACTTCTTACCGAACAGAACTTCTGAGGCGTCTTGAGCAGTTTGCAGGCTTACAACCTCTGGGAGCGAAGGTTCTACGCTCCAGCCGCGGACGGCAGTGAAGGTGCAGAAACCGGCTGTAGCAGCGAATTCGTGCCTGACCTTGCAGAACATCTTCCTGGTCCTTGCACGCAAGGTCTAAAAACCTTAGCATGGCGACAAAGTTCCTGCCGGGATCGGCGGGTCTGCATACCACTTGCCGCCTTCGCCTGCGCATCGAATGGCAGCCAGGATCAACGACTGCTTACATGAGCTAAGTGCCAACATGTGCACAACATCCACACTCCAGTGGCTGATGTTAGCAGGCTCTCGAAGCCCAACTGCACGCGTGAGAATGGAAAGCTTCGGAAGGCTTGCATGCTTTAGCCTGGCGAGGTCATGGCACCCCAGACGTCCCAATCTCCACTGTGCACATACGCCCAGATGGTTCTCCTCACAACATGGGTCGAAAGCACCGGAGATTCTGTTCTGCAGGCATGTGCGAAGGAATCAAAGTAAGTCGACCCATCCAAAGTAGATACAGACCCTGCAACCTAAACCCTAAACCCTAAACCCTTTACCCTAAAAGTTAAAAAATGAGTCGAGCAGTAGCAAGATGTTCGTGCCAAGAGTCACTGAACCGGCGCTGCCAAACCTGATCTCGTTGGGCTTGCCGTAGGCTGCCCTACTGCAGACCCTCATCATGATGTCATCCTCGGTGCAAGACTCTGCAAGATCATCGCCAGAATTACTCAGAAGGGGCCCCTCAAGCCAGAACCTGAATCCCATCCTGAGTCCCGAATGTCCCCAGTCTTCAGAAGAGATTGAACCATTGCAACAGCACACAACCAAAGCGGACGACCTGTCACGTGTTACACGTGCATCATTCCGGCGCCCGTTCCAGCCCACACAAGCTGCGAGGGCCGCTATAAAGTTTTTGAGGTAGCACGTGTTTCTGGCTGTGTCCGCTTCGTGCTTAACCTGTCGTTGACCACTCCTTTCATACCTCTCCATGCACCGGCGTCTGAACTTTCCTAAACCCTAAACCCTAAACCCTAAACCCTAAACCCTATGTGCAAGTGCACCCCATTTGCACAGCTGGGCCAGAGCCCAAGTTCCCTCGTTCTCAGGGCATCTGAGGCAAGTCTCCGGCTTCCACGGCGTAGACTCGTCCTCTGGGCTTCAGTCGGGTTTAGGGTTTAGGGTTTAGGGTTTAGGGTTTAGGGTTTAGGGTTTAGGGTTGAGGGTTGAGGGTTGAGGGTTGAGGGTTGAGGGTTGAGGGTTGAGGGTTGAGGGTTTAGGGTTTAGGGTTTAGGGTTTAGGAGCTGCTGAACATCGCTTTAGGACGTTTCATTTTCTCATGCCGCATGCTGAAGCGTCCTTCAACTTCACCGTGTACGTGCCGAATGGGCTGAAAGCCGTTCCTGCTGTGGCTCGAATAGCCTGAGGACGCAGAAAGTTTCTCTCAACTTGCACGGTTTACGGTTTAGGGTTTAGGGTTTAGGGTTTAGGGTTTAGGGTTTAGGGTTTAGGGTTTAGGGTTTAGGGTTTAGGGTTTAGGGTTAGGGTTTAGGGTCCAAAAAACTTGTGTCATGGTGACAGCCGCTTACATCTCTACCGAAAGCAGACTGCATCTTTGCTGGGGCACCAGAACGTACTCGGGCCACTGGTGAGAAGCCAAGAAGTACAGAGCATTCCCCTTGTAAGTGCCTGCGCAAGTCGCGATTGGTCCCAAGCAAATCTACCGGGTTCTCACGCCGGCAACACATCTTTGTTGGAAGCATGGCTTTTAAACCTCAAATCTGCACCAACTCGACAGCATGGCAGGAAATGCCTGGAACCCGGTACAAATCGAACTTGTCCGAGCCCAGAAAGGACCAGCTCGGCATGCTTGACGTCCCCATCTGATTCCAGGCGCTGACTCCTCAGCATGTCGAACGCTTCATTCTCACCACCCTGCACCCTAAACCCTAAACCCTAAACCCTAAACCCGCATGGCGTTGCTGGGTCCCTGCCAGGTTGCTCTTGAAGTACATCCTGTACTTTGGCCACTTCACCTGAAGAAAAAAGGATGGTCAAACATCGGCCTCGCATGAGCATGATACTGTTCTATAAAGTCCCCTTAGAACTAGTTACAATCATGATGGGAAGTGAATGTAGAAAGATAAACGGTTGTAGCATAATAGGATTATGGTGGATTTTAGTATGTCGTGTTTCACTTTTATTATTTGCGATGACAGCTATTAATTTTTGTTCTTTCATTTGGACTCACGGGAATCTTATTCACAGGAAGCATGTGAGCGGCTAAGTGGCTGAAACAGATGATTGGGCGAGAGGAAAAAGCGTGTTGTTTGGCAGTCAAGGCACGGTTACAATGAGTGTGAATTGGGATGTTCCCTCTTATTCTAACAGCTCCTCAGTTCAATACGGATTATAGTACCCCCTATCTTATCATAATCCCTCTTAAGGACTGTTAGCAGAACGGGGAACATCCCAAGGTGTGAATGTGATGTCCTTCACTTCGTTCATCTTGTTATTGATAAAGAAGTTTACGCTCACAGGCTTCATATTGTTCACGCTGTGCTCACTAAAACCCGCCAGTGAACAAGGATACCGCCGTGAGAAAGAAGATACAGTCATAAAGGCTGAGGAAAACATGATTATTCTATGATTAAAGATGTGAGCAAGGGTACGGTGATAATAAGCGCTCTCTTAAAACACAATAGTTCATGCATTAATGGGATTTTTGGTGTGGTGTTTTTTTAGTCACTCAGTCTGGCAGAAAGCCACTGTAGGACCCCTCGGACTCTCGGCAAATGAAAGACACCGTGGACAGGCAAGAAGCGTTTCTCAGCGTGAAGCCACTGGCCACCAAGATGTTGCCTGAATGATAGCACCTTGCTTAGGGTTTTAGGGTTTAGGGTTCCTGAACCCTAAACCCTAAACCCTAAACCCTAAACCCTAAACCCTAAGCACCTTGCTTCGGAGATCAAGGCCTCTTAGCAGGCAACGCTGCTCAACTGTTCAGCCGCTACGAAACCACAGCAGCCCCTGCTCGGAGGTTCATGGGTAGTTGCAAGTGGGGTTTATAAGCAGGGCAACTATACTTAAAATCGTATTGGGGTACTTATAAGCGTACTTATAACTACTCATGATTCTCCTCATAACCTTACTTAGGGTACTGATCACCCTACTTACAACTACCCAAGAACCTCCAAGTGCAGGTCCTCGCTCTCATGAGATCCTCCAAGCTCTCAATTCGAGCCAAAGGAGCCTGCCATCGGCTCCAGCACAACCACCTGGGCACACCTTACCAGGCTCTCGCAGGGCAAATTATGACCCCCTAAGCCCTAAATCCTAAGCCCTAAGCCCTCAGCCCTAGACCCTAAGCCCTAAGCCTTAAGCCCTAAACCCTAAGCCCTAAGCCCTAAACCCTAAACTCCCCCATGGCTCGATGGCATGCTTGTTGCCACACGACTGCAACAGAATCTTGCTGGAATCTTGCTCGAGTGACTCAGCGCTGCGTCCTACTTGAAGGCTCATGGGTAGCTACAAGTCGGGCTATAAGTACCCTAAATTAGGTTGTAGCCAGCTGGAAGTATAGTTGCCCTACTCATAGCCTCACTTATGAACCTTTGAGTTCCTGGCGCATCTGCCCGCGTTGCACTGGGACATCCGGGAGTAGTCGCAGCCCAGGTGGGCACAGGTTCCACCTGTAAAGCCTGCTTGGAGGTTCATGTGGGTAATTTATATGTGGGTGTTTTTGAAGTACCGTAAGTAAGGTTTGAAGTATCACTCACAACTTCAGCAGAATCATCTCCCACAACGCAACCGAGCTGCTGTAGCACTGCTTGGTAAACGAAAGGGGATGAGAATTTCCCCACTCATCCGTATGATTGGTGCGCTGGGCAGCCCCCCTGCTCAGAGCCATCAAAGCTGTCAACTCTTCCTCAAGCTGAAGGAGGCTTAGGGTTTAGGGTTTAGGGTTTAGGGTTTAGGGTTTAGGGTTTAGGGTTTAGGGTTTAGGGTTTAGGGTTTAGGGGTTAGGGGTTTAGGGTTTAGGGTTTAGGGTTTAGGGTTTAGGGTTTAGGGTTCAGGGTTCAGGGTTTAGGGTTCAGGGCGCCAGCCGTACGATAGCACGAAAGACATCCGCGGGCCGGGCATGGACTTGAGGAACCCTACCTACCGAGTGTGCCGACAGCCATCTTGCTCTTTCTTCAATGACTTAGTTGTCCAGTAACCTGGGAGAACTAAAGGTTAACCTTTGGGATTATAAGGGGATTCTACTACCCCAAAAAGGTTAAAGGTTACCCACTCTACTATGAGCCGTCTGAGTCTCAAAAATAAGGGGTGGTGGCAGGAGGATCGATTTGGCAGAGGGGGTCAGGAAGTGCTTTGGCCGCACATGGGGAATCTGAAAAGAGTGCAGGGAAGAAAGCGGAATCATGCACCGACTGCAGCTCAGGGGCCGCCGTGTAGCTCGCTGCCGGACCATCGGCAATGGACCCCAAATGGACCTCCCGCAAGATCTCGCAAGCCGCTTATGCCACCTACCTTGACTTCCACAACCCTAAACCCTAAACCCTAAACCCTGGCTTAGCCTCCTCTGCAGACCCCGCCGTCTCATCAATCTCATCGCTGACGTTTGCAAGCTGGTGGATCGATGCGTTGCCGGCACTGTCTTCCAGCTCTTGGCTGGTGACGTTCTCCTGCAAAACAGAAGGCAACAGCAAGAAAGAGAGAGACAGAAACAGAGGAAGTTTAGGGTTTAGGGTTTAAGGTTTAGGGTTTAGGGTTTAAGGTCTAGGGTTTAGGGTTTAGGGAGAGAAAGAGAGGGAGAGCGAGCAAGAGCGAGAGAAAAGGGAGAAATGAGAATGCGTGTGCCTGAGAACAGATACAGCAGGGAGATGGAGGTGGTGACTCCCCCATTCACCCCAGGAAATGCAACAGCACCTTCACATCCACCTCCTACTTCAATTTCATCTTCTTCTCCCACAGCCTCTACGCTACGTGCAGCGCGTGAGCAAGTACGAGTTTGTTGCAGTAAGTGCGCGAATGGTGTGCGTAAAGGGCTGTGAGGGGTGAAGGTGTGAGGGAGAGAATGCGAATCGCCGCCTCAGAATGGGATCGCTGTGCACGTAGCTGAGTGGCCTTTCGGGCAATTGCTGACAGAACTGCTGAGTGGGTCTGAGTGCAACATGGCGCAACACATTCAAGACTTTTGCCGCCTGCAGCGCGCAAGGCGCATCCGCAGCACATTCCTGGTCCGCGGCGTCAGCAACAGCGAAGTTTCTGATGAAGCTTGAAGGCACCCATCTAGTTCATACGGCTACTATTCAGGGGGGGCTCTCCAACCATAGCCGTACATGCCCAAAGAGCCCAATACCTCCTAAATCACGAACACACCTTAAATCATAATATAAGGATCCTTAATACGATTTGAGGAGGTATATTCCTTATTTGCAGTACCAGAAGCAGGTGGCCAAGCTGCCAAGCCACATCATCCCACTCCGCTGGCGGTGCTTCGCTCGTGTCAGGCAGGGCAGATCCCAGGCTCGCTGCCAGGGAGAACAAAACCACGAGTGCTGATGGCATTCTAACGCTTTCAGTAGGCACTAGAGCTTCAAAGAACATAAACAGCTGCAGCGGAGTCGATGGCTTCGTGTGGCAGCTTCAAGCAAATCGCCATGTGCAAGCTGTCAAGGCCTTGAGGTTGCATGCGCTGGCTCGGCGATTCTTACAGGGCGCTTTTCCCCCAGCCAAATGAATCGCGTTGACAGAGGGATACCCTCTAGAAAAGCACTGAGCTTGGTCGCTTTGATGATGCAAGAGCTGGCTAGTCAGCTGAAAGGCCAAATTCGTATGCACACGCGAGTCGCGTGTGTCGCCAGTGATGGCAACGAAACCTGGAAGCAGCAGCACGGAACAAATCCTAATCTCAAATCTATAGTGTCTCACATCTCACATCCAACACGCACACACACATACATTTATATATATATATATATGTATGTACGTATGTATGTATATATAAATATATAATATCATCCCATATATAAAACATATCAACATATATCTATATATATATATGCTATATATAGATGTCTCTATATAGATAGATAGATAGATAGATAGATAGATAGATAGATAGATCGATATAGATAAAAGATATATAGATATGTATATATAGATGTATAGATGTATAGATATCTAGATATCTAGATATAGATATATCAACAAACCGACATCCGAGAACCGAAATCCCCGGCCGAGGCGCCAAGGCGCCGCTTGCGCCGCTGAGAATTCCTCAGGTCCGCCTCCCCGGCACCAATCACCTGGGAGGATTTTGGGGTTTAGGGTGGAGTGTTTAGGGATTAGGGTTTAGGGTTTAGGGATTTTGGCAGACGCGTTAGCAATACGTTGGAGCCTTAAGACCTTTAGAAAGCTTCCTTGGAGGTTCATCGGTAGTTATACGTGGCGTAAAGTAGGGTAACTATACTTATAACTATCCTAAATGAGAGTAAATATAACCCTACTTACAACTACCCATGATCCTTCTTGTAGGCCGTTTAAGGTGGGAGGCGACTCATCATCTGCCTTTCAACGTGCATGGCAGACACCAAGCAGGCTGTGCCGCAAAAACCCCGTGCATCTCCGCATCTCAAGCAAGGTGCGGCGCCGTGCCCAACAGCCTCCTGCTCCAAGGCCTCAGCAATAGTCACGGCTAGGGGTTTAAGGTTTAGGGTTTAGGGCTTAGGGTTTGGGGTTTAGGCTTTAGGGTTTAGGGTTTAGGGTTTAGGTGGCCCTGGGACCTCGGATCCTTCAAGCCTGTGGTGATACTCAGAGGCCCGAACGAGCGAGAGGCTGATGTTTGAGCTCCGCGGCAGCGTGGAAGTGCCTCGTAAGCTGCTCGCTCGCGTGCGCACAAGGACGAACCCTGGAGGACCCTAAACCCTAAACCCTAAACCCTAAACGAGAGCACAAGATGGTGCAACAGAAAAATCAACACCAAAGTCACAGCACACACGCGCACCACTTGGTCTCAAGGTCAGACATCTACCTGGAGGTTCCTGTACCCAAAAAAAGGTTCTAAGTATAGGTACCCTACTTATAAACCCCACTTTTAACTACCCACGAAACTCCAAGTAGCCCTAAACCCTAAACCCTAAACCCTAAACCCTAAACCCTAAACCCTAAAATGGTTCTACAGCTCGGCTTCTGAACACACACGAAAGACTCTTTCAACCGGTGCTGTTTCATGAACCCGGCCTCTGCCCTGGCCGGCGGCCTCAAGCAGATGAGCACTCTTCCCGTTGTTCCCCGAGATCTTAGGGTTTAGGGTTTAGGGTTTAGGGTTTAGGGTTTAGGGTTTAGGGTTTAGGGTTTAGGGTTTTTAAGTGCTGCCCAGGCTCCGAAGCGCGCATTCCGCTCCGGTGAATCGCATGGCTCCCACGTGGCTCATGTTTCGACTGAGAGCCGCTGTCACTACACAGCTTTAGCATCACCCTCACATATCTATGAACCGTCATGTCTAGTCTAGAATGTTCATGATGGCATATAAAAAACCGAGACCGGTAGGGCCCCCACGAAACAGGAGGTCATGACAGGAAAATGCACACAAGGCTAAGCGGGCCTTGCCCTGACTTCTGTCAGATGCAAGACCCTCTCAAGAAATCAAACGGCACATTTGACCGTCTGCAAAAATTGCCTGCAGGCAAACGGATTCGAAGCACACCGGCGAGGTCAACACAAACCGACTATTCTTCTGTGAGGCTGCTGGGAAGGATCCCGGGTCTACTGCGGAGTTCTTGGCCTCTACCATTGTGTGCCGCCCCATCCCCTGTGCGGCCGTTCGCCAGACTGACTTAAGCTTGAAGTTGTGAGGAACCCAGAGTATATAACGTAACATATGCAATAAGGGTTTAGGGTTTAGGGTTTAGGGTTACATTTTTTGTATATGTATATATACACATTGGACAAGATAGCCAGTCATCGAACGGGCTGCTCTAACCCGGCTTCTGGAAGCTTCCTGCGGGTCTCAGGGGGTTGAAGGGTCGTTGTTGGGGGTTGTGCTGTACAAGGCAAGAGATGCAAAGATGCACCGGGAAAACAATACAGGTTGCTGCTGCATGTGCGGTCTTTCTCCTTACTTGCAAATAGAGGTTGCCTGCGGGCTGCTTAGCTGCAGAGACCAACAACGGGTTGCGGCAACCTGCCACAATTAAGGCACCTCAGGAAAAGTGTGTTGCCAAGCCATTCGTTCTCATCAGTAGACTTTGAATTCCACCAACGGAGCTGCCTGGAAGCAACACAGGACTTGCAGGACTGAACTTGACTGCGTCTCAAACAAAGCTTCATCGCCCTAACCCTACACCCCTGACCCTACTCCTAAACCCTAAACCCTAAACCCCAAGCCCCAAACCCCACACCCCAAGCCCCAAGCTTGCCCTCGGCTCCTGGCCTGGCAGCTCACCTGGAAGCTCACGCCACTCGCTTCAGGCCGTTGTCAAGCTTCCTTCGTGCCCGCACGCGCTAGCAGAATGGCGGCGCCATAAACCCCCCCCAAAAAAAAAACAAACAAGAAAAAAAACAAAAACAAAACAACAACCTTAAAAACCCTCAAAAAAAAACCTTGTTTTAGAAAATAGGCCTCAAAACCCCAAAAATCCTCTTGGCAGTCCAGGACTCTCCACCTTCAGCTTGCCATCTTCCAGGGTCCAGGTCTCGTTGCAAACCTTCTCCACGAAGTCCATCTTGGGCTCGATCATCAGGATGCCTTCAACCCTGTACCCTAAACCCTAAACCCTAAACCCTTAACCCTAAACCCTAAACCCTAAAGCTGCATGCTCTGAGCATCTTGAAAAGCATTGGGAGGATTGATGAGTCACAAATTGGGGCAAAGCGCCTCCGCGGAAGTTGTTCAAGGCCTGTCAGGGCTGAAATGTCTTGGACTCTAGGGTTTAGGGTTGAGAGTTTAGGGTTTAGGGTGTAGGGTTTAGGGCTTAGGGGGAACAAGTGATTCGGCAACATGCACTCAAGACGGCTCTACCAACATACCTTCCGTGCTACAGACGTGTCCACTGATGTCCACGAACCGACGTGAGACTTAGAGGCACCCCAATCTGATGACGCGTAGCCTTTGCCAAAGCTTCAACTGTCTCCACATCCAGGTAGTTTGTGGGCTCATCCACCGCGATGAAATGAGGCTTCGTCCAGAACCTCAGCATTCAAGAGCATGAAAAGGTAGAAAGGGTTTGCAGCTTAGAGACTACTTGAAGGATCATGGGTAGCTATGAGTAGGCTTATAAGTACCCTAAATGGGGGGACAAGTATAGTTACCCTACTTAAAACCCTACCCAGGAACCTCCCCTCAAGCCAGATCATGCTCCCAAGAAACATGGCCGCAAGAGACAGGCGCACCTGACACGAAGGGCCAACCAGTACATGTTGTACTAATGTATAGCTTGAAATTTATATGACATATATAACATTTATTTATTTACATAAACATCTTATGCGTTTTGTATCATATGTTGCATGACGCATCTTACATACTTTATATCATATGGTATATATTATAAATTACATATTGTCGAACAGCGTGTGAGATGTGCAGCTCCTGTGTGCGATAAGTGCACACATTCTGCTACAAGTACAGTCTGGTGCACGTGACTGTTAGATTTTTCTTGAGACCAACAGTGGGGCGGGGAATGGTTGTAGAGATACTCCGAAAGCACCTCATAAACTGCATCCACCACAAACACGAACGAACGCGGGGTGAATGCCTTGCTGCACTCACTGCCTATGGACTGCAAAAGAAATGTGCACGGTACCTTCTGGCCAGCAGAGAATCCACGAATCTGCTGGTTGCAGCACATCTCCTCAGAAGCAGACATCAGGCCGTCATGACACGGAACACTCGCAGACGGAAATCGCAAGGCCAGCAGAGCTCAGGGGGCCATCCTGAACTGTGAAACCTTTGCAGCAGGTTCGAAAAAAGCTGCAAGTCCTCGTCAATGCCAAATGCCTCACAGTGCTTGGTGATCTCTCCTTAGCCATCCACCGTACTCTGCAAAGACATGCTGCTCCAAATTAAGGTCTCCCTCTGAAGAGTACACAAGAGGTTCCTGTTTTGGAGGGGACCATAAATCATCTCAGTAAGGTTCATCCCCCCCAATGTCGCAACTTAGAACAGTCCCCATACCGGCCCCGCATGCCAGGTTCCCTAAATTGGAGTGGCAGGGCTTCGGGTTTAGGATTGAGGGTTCCCTTTCTTGGTACTTGCTATAAACATTGGGCCGAATGTCACCCCTTAAAACCCTAAAAACCTAGATATCACATACCTTGAATAGCCAAAGAAACGCCAAGAACCCAGAATACCCTAGTTGCCCAATACCCTACATACCCTAAATACACTGAATACCCAAAATCCCCTAAACACCCTTTGCTTTCTTTGGGAAGTTCCCGCTGGGCTGCTTCGCGTCAGCGGCCTCTGGTCCAGCCCGGCAGCCTTCGACACGCTATGCACACACACAGATATATATATATATATATATATACATATTTATATTTATATTTATATATTTATATATTTATATATTTATATATTTATATATTTATAGATTTATATATTTATATATTTATATATTTATATATTTATATATTTATATATTTATATATTTATATATTTATATATTTATATATTTATATATTTATATATTTATATATTTATATATTTATATATTTATATATTTATATATTTATATATTTATATATGTATATATTTATATATTTATATATTTATATATTTATATATTTACATATTTATATATTTAATATTTATATATTTAAATATTTATATATTTATATATTTATATATTTAAATATTTATATATTTAAATAATTATATATTTATATATTTATATATTTATAAATATATATATATATATATTTATATATTTCATATTTCTATATTTCTATATTCTATATTTCATATTTCTAATATTTCTATATTTCTCTATTTCCTCTATTTCTCTATTTCTCTATTTCTATATTTATATATTTCTATATTTCTATATTTATATATTTATAATATTTATAATTTATATATTTATATATTTATATATTTATATATTTATATATTTATATATTTATATATTTATATATATTATTATATATTATACACTTATATATTATATATTTATATATGATATATTTATAAATTTTATTTATATTTATATTTGTATTTATATGTGTATTTATGTTTATATTTTATATTTATATTTAGATTTATATCTGTTTTATCTATTCATTATATTGTCTTTATTTTCATGTTCTTAATATTTATAAATAGAAATATATATATATATACATATTTTTTATTTATTTATTTACGTTTATTCATTTAATTATTTTTGTACATTTTTCATATGTGGTATGCATATATACATACATACATATTTTCATACATATTCATTTCTTCTTATGATATATATATATGTATGTACATGTATACATATATATATATACATATATATATGTATATGTGTATACACGACCTGTGCATAGAAAAAGCCAAGGCATGTTCCTTTTTTTACATACAGATGTATCTTGCTATAATACATACGTATATATACAAATCAGATCAGATCATATCACATCCGATCCTATCATATCATATCTGGCCGTGGAACCCCGCAACCCTGAAACCTTAAATTCTAGACAACCCGAACCCTAAACCCTAAACCATCAACCCTAAACCCCAAACAACCCTACACAATCTAAACCCTACACAACCCAAACCTTCAGCATGCTCCGGCTCAACTGGCTGCTTTGCCTTTGCCGCGATGCGCTCGTCGCAGGCGATGACCACCTTGTCCAAACCTAGGCGAGGAATTTCGGGTTGGAGATTCAAGCTTGAGAGGCAGGGTTTAGGCTTTGAGGCTCAGAACTTGTCTTCGACAAGTGGCTCTCAAACTAGAGCGCTCGCTCACTGCAAGAATGCGCCATGCCGTGAGTCGCAGCACAGAGAATGTGCCGTCAAAGCTGCCCATGTCCCTCAGGGTCTTCAGAGACACCATGGTGTTCCTTGGCATGCCCAGCGCGTCGCTTCAACTTGACTTCGGGCAGGTAGCTACTCTCATGTTTGAAGTGTTATGATTATAGCCGTATAACCATTCTTGTTATAGAATATACAAGTCTCTGCTTCGGATCATCCAGGCCTTCCCACTTCACCTGCAAGCCAGTCGCGGCTAGAGTCTCTGAGGAGTGAGGTCGGGGTACGGAAGCTGGTGGCCCATGGAAGCTCTTGCAAACCTCTGGTCTTTAGGGGATAGGATTGGGGGGACCCTTGGGGATATGGGCCCTCTGAGTGTGGTCCCTGTTGAAGAGAGCCAGAAGAGGGTTCAGAAGGGCTCCCCTTTCAAACCCTAAACCCTAAACACTAAACCCTAAACCCTAAACCCTAAACCCTAAGCCCGGACCTCGTAGTAGAGCTGGCTGCCCTGCTTGCTCCGACTCAGCAGCTCGCCGACCTGGTTCCCGTACTTTCCATGCCTCGGCCAGCGCGGCGTCTCGAAAATACTCCAAGGGGCCGAAAACCCTAAACCCTAAACCTTAAAACCTAAACCCTAAACCCTAAACCCTAAACCCTAAACCCTAAACCCTAAACCTCTCTCTCTCTGAAGCTGGGGGAGGGGCTGCTTGGCCAGGGTGGCGCGGCGCGCAGCCTCCTCGTCATCTTCGGGCTCGATGAGGCGCTTCTGCAGCTCCTGGTGTAGGGTTTAGGGTTTAGGGTTTAGGGTTTAGGGTTTAGGGTGTAGGGTTTAGGGATTAGGGTTTAGGGTTTAGGGTTTAGGGTTTAGGGTTTAGGGTTTAGGGTTTAGGGGCAGGGAGGAAAGAAGAGGAAAAAACGAAGAAGCACACCGTCTGTGGCGTGAGAGATCCTCGTCGTAGCCGTTCTTGAACCGCTGGGTGATGTAGGTCAAGGGAGACGTGTCCTACATCTCAGCTACATCGAGCGAGGAAGGCGGCAGAGTGCTAGCGCTTAGCTGGATTGCCCAAGTCAAGAAGCATGTCAAGAAAAAAACCTGACTGCCAGAAAGCGTCGAAGTACGGTCCGAGGGTCTTCAGATGATCCTGACACAGGTTGATGTACATACTGAAATGCCCCGAGAGATGGATCTGAAAGCACCTGCTTCATGTAGGCCACTCGCAAGTTGCAGTGGCGAATCACCTCGCTGAAGCGGAAGCGACATGCACGTGGACAGCACGGAGCTCAGAGACTTCACACCCCCTGAACCCCTAAACCCCCTCAACCCCCTAAACCCCCTAAACCCCTAAACCCCCTAAACCCCTAAACCCCTAAACCCCTAAACCCCTAAACCCCGAACCCCTAAACCCCTAATCCCCCAAACCCTACACCCTACAGCGCTGCTCTCCAACCTTGGCATCCTGTCAGATCGCTAAAATGCCTTTAACATGCTGCGAAGTCGCCTCACCAAGCTTGCCTTCCTGCAGAAAACATGGGAGTTTTCGATTATAGGGTTTAGGGTTTAGGGTTTACGGCCTAGGGTTTAGGGTTTTGGGTTTAGGGTTTATTTAGGGTTTAGGGTTTAGGGCTTAGGGTTTAGTGTTTGGGGGCGTCGGTTTACGTGTCACTTGCACCGTTGCTGTTTCGTTGGCTTCTATTCCCGGCAGCGCTGCCTTTGGAAGTGGCGGCTTGGGCCCTCAAATCTAGGACACAAAGCCCTAAGTACCCTAAGTAAGGTTATAAGTATAGCTACCCTACTTATAACCCCACTAAAACCTACCCATGAACCTCCAACTTCCCTGAATGCTCTGCCTTCTTGAGGTCTGATCCCTCACACGGCTTTTGGCAAAACGGGTGGTACCAAGATGTTGTGGCCTGGTTGGAGGTTCATGGGTAGTTTTTAGTGGGGTCATAAGTAGGGTAACTATACTTATAACCTTACTTAGGGCACTTATAACCCTACTTGTATCTACCCTTACACCTCCAGCTAGTTCCAGTTCAGGGCTCAGCCTCGCCAGGCTTTCAATGTGCGTTCAGCTTGGCAGACGACTCATACTCTCAAAGAAGCCCATCAGAAACTTACGTGACAGCTGTCCTTGCCCTCCGTGGCATTCATCTCCGAGCAGATGAGCGTCATGAGGGTTGACTTTCCACAGCCTTGACGTCACAAAACAACCCAAGCTCCGTGCAAGTACTGTCCACCCACTCCTAATCAAGGAAGCATGTGCTGATGTCATGATGTCATCTCTTCTTGCACAGCAGACACCCTAAACCCCTAAACCCTAAACCCTAAACCCTAAACCCTAAACCCTAAACCCTGAACCCTGAACCCTGAACCCTGAACCCTATGCCGCTTCCGTAGACATGTCCAGCCAGAAACACAAATGTCGCAGAGCGGCCGTTTCTTCCACAGATGGCAACACGGGAGCCCAAAGACAGCTTGCCAGCCACGTCATTGATAAGGTAGTCCTTGTCCTTGAAAGCAAGAGCACTTGCAGCAAGACAGCTAGTAAGATACTACAATAACACAACAGGATAATGATAAACAAAATGCACAAATACATGTGTATATATATAAATCATACCCTACTCTGATTCTGTAATCACAACAGTAATAATCATAGTAGTGAAAAATAAGCTACGGAAACGGCTCAGCCCCACGATGTCCGCGCCTTGCCATAGCGGAAGGACAAGTTCTTGAACTCGATGACAGCCTGCCAGGTTCAAGTTGCATACACCTGCCGACGATTCTCATCTTATTACACAAAATTTGATTATATTGTATTCATTCATTTGTAATAATGTTGTACTCTTTTGTTGTCTTCTTTTATTGTGTTGTATCTTATTACATTCTTGTAGTAATTCACAATTATAATATTCTTTCTTTTTATAGAGGTTGCTCCGTTTTGCTGCGCCTTGGAGCTTGACTTCACACCCTCGACGGAGCCAGGGATTGGGAAGGCAATCCTCAACGGCCAAAAGCGACATTCTTCATTCTTCGTGGGTTGAGGGTTGAGGGTTGAGGGTTTAGGGTTTAGGGTTCCGTTTGCTATCCGCCCCCGGAGGGTGAGCAAAGAAACCGCTTCAGCCAAGACACTTGGGAGGACCAGTGATTGGAGCTTGAACGACGGCTGCCTTCTTCTCCTCGCCTCCCTCTTCACCCTCTTCGTCCTGAAAGAGGCAGCGGAAGGCTTCACATGAAGCATTGGCTCTTGGCACCACGTTCACACGAACACCCACTGGATAGAACAAGGGATGATAATAAAAATAGTTATAATACTTGTAAACAATAATAACAACAATAATAATAATAATCATAGTAATACTAATAATAACAATAATAACAATAATAATAATAATAATAGTAATACTATGAATAATAATAATAATACTAATAATCACAATAATAACAATAATAACAATAACAATAATAGTAATAGTAACAATAGCAACAAGTCAAGAAGGGGGGGGCCTCATCCAGCTTCAAGTTGCCGGAGAGCAGCGCTTCGATGTCATCGGCCTTGATGCCCTTGGCCATGACGAAGGCGTCGAAGTTTCCGGCCTTTAGGGTTTAGGGTTTAGGGTTTAGGGTTTAGGGTTTAGGGTTTAGGGTTTAGGGTTTAGGGTTTAGGGTTTAGGGTTTAGGGTTTAGGGTTTAGGGTTTAGGGTTTAGGGTTTAGGGTTTAGGGCCGAAAACTGGTGGCCACGACTTCGATCAGCGAGCCATGTCGTCAGCAATTCTTCTTGCCATTGAGAACCGCAGCGAAGGTGGCGCACGACAGCTCGCGAAACCACATCGGCTTGAGCTTTCTTTCCTGCTTTCGAACGCACGCCGCGCGCCCGAGCTCCGAGCCCAGTGAAAAATGGCTCGAATGAGGCAAACCCAACTCCTGACTGAGTGCACGACTCTACAGTTAAGCGGAAGGTCACTCCACGCAGTAGTTGTCGACTCACATCTCCCCCTCTATCTGCGGCCCTCTCCGTGATTCTGAACGGCCCCTAAACCCTAAACCCTAAAATCCTAAATCCTAAACCCTAACCCTCTCCCCCTTGCTCTTGCAACTCGGCGGCCGTGTACACCAGGGACTTGTCCTACGCAGCCCGGCTTTCACAAGCAGCACAGCGAAGCTGGAACTGCAATACACACAATATGCAAGATCATAGTAGTCAGAGTACGTTCTGCACAAGGTAACATCTATACATATCTATATAATGAAATATCTATATATATGTATATATATACATATATACGTATGCATATATACATATACATATTATATATAATATTTCTTCACGCTATTTATTTAATTATTTATTGTATTTGTTTTGTAACATAATAGTGTTATATATTACTAGAAGTCCTTGTAGGAGATAATGTCTGTGCAGATCTTGTTGAGGAACTTGGGCTCGTGGGAGATAACCTTGCCAGCACACTTTGCCCCAAGGAGTCTCTCCCGACTGAGTTAAGGGTTTCGGGTTTAGGGGTTGGGGGTTAGGGGTTAGGGTTTAGGGTCTTGGGTTTAGGGTTTAGGGTTTAGGGTTTAGGGTTTAGGGTTTAGGGTTTAGGGTTTAGGGTTTAGGGTTTAGGGGTTAGGGTTTCTGCTCATTTCTGCCCAGCAGGTCCCCAGGAAAAGTCTCAACAGGATATGCACAAGAGGAGCCATGACGGATGACTTCGTCAAAGTGAGGAGGTAGTCGCCCAGCCAGTCCACAGACTCCTGTGACAAAACTTTAAGGGGTTTAGGGTTTTGGGTTTAGGGTTTAGGGTTTAGGGTTTAGGATTTACGGTTTAGGGTTTAGGGTTTAGGGTTTAGGGTTTATGCAACTCTCTGAGGGATTGCAAAACTGTCTTTTCGGCAGCCCAAATCACAGTACACAGTCGTACAGATCAGAGCAGCTTCATAGCATCTTGTGCTACACCCACGCAAGCCTGATCCAAGTGATTGGTGGGCTCATCCAGCAGGACAATGTCTGCGTGCTTGAGCATGGACCTGAGCTGCGTAGGCTCTACACATCAAGGCAATTATCCTGGAACGACATGCCGCTCCCCCTCACAAAGAGCGTGCTTTTAAAATCATCCCGTCCCCCTAACAAGATCTAACAAGAACACCCCCCCCTGGGAGAAAAACCCCTCTGCCCCCAAAACCCGATCCGCGGGGGGGGGGGGGGGGCG